GCATGTCCTGTCTGCCAGCGCCCGCCACTCGCACAATGTACATGCAACACAGACACCGTCTTTATGGGGGTCAGCAGGTACACCATGTCATTGTTAAGTCCGACTGTTTTCAACCTTCAAAGATAGATCCTTGTTATGTCTGTTTCGATGCCCCTGACCATGGAACAATCGTCCTCCAATCATCAGGACAGAAACGTTTAAGTCACTGACAGCCCAACTCTTCTGCAAATAATTAGACAACATGTTTTGGATTTTATGCGCAAAATTTACCCACTACATTTACATGTTTCAATTTACACAAAATTTCAATTTTCGCAATTGATCAAATATTCCAAGGTCTTAAGTAGATGACTGCTTTCTGAAATACACTATATTCCACGTATGACATATACTGATGGAAGCAAGTTAGGGAACAGTGAAAAACACATGGAAGTAAGCTTTACTGTCAGTACTTTGAAATAGACCATACAAATTCAACCCTTGTCAGAATAAAGAGTGGATATTTGGTACACAAGGTTAGGAACAAATGATAGCACAACACTTTACTGTGTCTAAAACTGTGATCCCTTGGTCATATATTTAGAAAGTGTATTAGATGTCTGAAGCTAAGATTTGGAAACATCACTGAGAGAGAGCCCTTGCATCATTTTGAATAAGGACTTTTTGATCAGATACATATATTCCTAATACGAAAGAGGAAGATTCAAAGAAACAGAAATTTAATTTAAGGGTCAAAGACGGATTTTAGGTTTTTCACAATGTTTCTATTTTCGCCCATTTTGCAGATTCATAGGTCTGGCTGCTCTGGCGTAAAATGTAACCCTGATTTCAGAACAAATGTATCATTGGACAAGCTTAGCATAATCTATACATGTTATAGCTTTCTGAGTGGTGTAAATTTTCTTAGTTGAAAGAACAATGCAGGATACACTTCACAAAAGATATAGGATGTCTGTAAAAATAGCTGAAAAAACTCTCTTAAAGGGCGAATTGGAACACGTCGCCTATACGCATGCGCACTTGTATTTTTGTATATTTTATTTTATTGAATAGATCATGAAGTCAACTTTACTAACAACGAAATCGACACGAGCGGAAGTGTATTTTAAGATTCAAAAACGGCTTTAAAGTTTATCACAATGTTTCTATTTTCGCAAATTCTCAGATTCATAGGGCTGCCTGCTCTGGGGTAAAATGTAACCCTGATTTCAGAACAAATGTAGCATTGGACAAGCTTAACATAACCTATACATGTTGTAACTCTTTGAAAAGTGTATATTTTCTTAGTTGAAAGAACAATGGAGGAAACACTTCACAAAATATATATAGTGTCTATAAAAGTAGCTAGAAAACTCTCTTAACGGGCTGTTTTGAACACGTCGCCTGAACGCATGCGTACTTGTATTTTTGTATATTTCATTTTATTGAATAGATCATGAAGTCAAATCTATCAACAACAAAATCGACAAGAGACAGATGTTTAATATAAGATTCAAAAACGGCTTTAAAGTTTATCACAATGTTTCTAGTTTCGCCCATTTTCAGATTCATAGGGCTGGCTGCTCTGGTGTAAAATGTTACTCTGATTTCAAAAGAAATGTATCATTGGACAAGCTTAGCATAATCTATACATGTTATAGCTCTTTGAATAGTGTATATTTTCGACTGAGCGCATGCGCACTTGTATTTTTGTATATTTTATTTTATTGAATAGGCAGAGGATTCATCACGAGTGTTTTTTTATTATATGGGAAATATCAACCGAGTCTTAGTTAATCGGTATTTGCCGAGCCTTAGTGTACAGTGGCGTGGATTCTGTTTGGGGGTAGAACGTTCATTATGAGAATGTACTGTTATCCAGCCGCCACGTATTACTTGATGCAGATGCCGTATTCACAATAGAAGCGCGGCACGCTCAAATAAACGTCCATTGGACAACATTTTAGACAATCTGCAAGAAACCTATATTAGCGTCCCGTACGAAACATGACAGTCCGTATTTTGCTGTATATAGGGCACATTTGTTTAAAGAAAATCCATTATTTTATGTAGACACCGTATTCGCCATAGGAGTCGCTCTGCTCCAATAACGTTTCCTTGACAAACTGTTAGATCAATATTTAACTTCTGCGTATATAGTCTTATAAGCGTGCCGTACTTTTAACCCCTTAAGCCCTATGGGTTTTTTTTTATTACGGGATACCGGGTAACATGTTAAGCACGCCTATGATAAGAAGACGAAGTAAAATACACGACTATTTCTAATCTGAGCCCATACCATGTGTTACATATAGATGGAAAGCTGGTTCTCTTCACAAAAATAATCAGGATCATGGTTTTAATGTAAGAAATATCTGGTTTTGCAGATGCAGATGAAAAAAGCTGGTCTCCAAACAAAATGAGGTCGGTCCGCAAGGGAAACCCATTTGTTTAATGTGTGTGATTAATACTTTTATTAAAACAGGAAATATGTTCGACAAGGATTACCTGATCAGGGCTAAAATTCAAATTCAATGAGCCCAATACAATAAGTACATCTAGATCTAGATTCGGTTGATAGCTAAGGCTGAAGACACAAAATAATCGTACGCCACTTTCAATACACGAACACTCACAGTTAGCTAACTCCAGAAAAGCATGTACAGAACTGAGAAAATATAACCGATGTCAGAAAGCTCTAGTCCAATAGTTTTGTAACAGTGCTAAAATTGCTATATTTTATTCAACTTTTTGTGAAATTCGCCTTCAATTCATAAGTTGTCGGTTAACCATTTAAGACCTGTTGGTACATACTGAGGTAAGAAATTGCATAACAACATCTGGCACTTCAGATTTACGCCGCCACGATCAGGTCGGTGGGCGAGACTTTAATTACATGTTGAATAACAACTGGTAGTGGTCAGCGCGTTCGGCACTTACCAGTATTGTGTTTGATGATGAAGGAGATTGTCAGATTATGTCTATATGCTTGATGATGATGAAAACATTTAATAAAGATTCCTGCTTTGCCTGAGAACCTCTCTCTGTTTGTCTTTGAAGGTGTGTTGATCCCGTGGCTAATTCCCCGAAAGCATTCTAGGTTTTGATCAGTTTTAGTGTAAAAACTAACTCTGTTTCAATTTGATGGATGAGAGTTCAAGTGCGTGAAAGGAGTTTGTAGATTAAGTAAAGTTTTTAGGTCTCTGGTTTAGAGAGCCTTACCTGGAAACCACACATGAACATTCTGAACATTCTGAGAGTGAGTGAGTGAGTGAGTATGGTTTTACGCCGCGTTTAGCCCTAGTTAGATCTTGACTTGATTTCGCTTGAATTTAGCGAGTCATGTCTTTCGTAAGTCACGCTGGGATATATACTACAGTAAAGTACGGTTATAACGAACTCAAAGGGACTACTAATTTTAGTTCGTTATAACCATAGTTCGTTATAAGCATATATACAGTATAACAGCAAATAGTCGGGACCAAAAAGTAAGTTCGTTATATCCGTCAGTTCGTTATAAGCGTGTTCGTTATAACCGTAGTTTACTGTAGTATATTCCAAAGTGTTAGTTTGTTTGTGTTTGTTGGTTTGTTTGACGCCACACACAGCAATATTCCAGATAAATAATTGAACCTAGACCAGATAATACTAACTATGTGTATTTAGAAAGTGCATGTGTATTGTAGGGATCAACTTGTATATGCCAAGGCATGTGTCACTCCAAAGCACGTTTTTTCTAACTGTTTTCATGCACTTAACACACTTGACAGGCATTGTAACAGTGTTGGTTGCAAAGTAGCTGTTGCTGCTTGAGGTGTTTCGGATGCCGCCTTGTCTTAGCAATTTCGGCTGACCTGTCTCTTTTTAGGGTAGGCATATCTATTGCGAGTTTTAGTATTCATAGAATATTATATTTTTTGGTAGTTTCTATTTTCGTATATTGATATGATTTCATTTTTGTCTTTGGCTGCTGTTTATATATGTAGCTGTCCACCTCTCAGAAATAGTTAGTTTGGCCTTCGCTATTGCATCTCTTGGCTTTAGGAGATTGAATATTCATTTATTATAATGGACATTTTGACTTTTTTTCATGTGGCCGTTTTGTCTTTTCGTGTGGCCGTTTTGACTCTAGGTTTGTGGCCATTTTGACTTATTTGAGGCCCTTCCGACATGATCACGAGGCCGTTCTGACTGCAACACTCAACTGTCTGCAGTTACGAGTTGAAAAACATCATCGAGGGAGCCCTTAAACTACGAGGCTTGTGCGCATGTATATTTATCTATGTTAGATTATTGTGCAGACAATAACGTATGAAATACAACTAAAGAAGTTTCCAAGGAACATATGTAGACTAAAACTTAGCCTATGAAAACACTTCTTTAAAATAATTGTATTGTTTCTCTGGCTGAGGAACCCTATGTTACTCAGTTGTTCGCAGATGCTATAATATATTTTCCATCAATATTAATGGTTTACAGAGAGAGACTCAAGTACTTGGAAATTATTGTGTTGAATGGAAACTCAAGAGTCAACAGTGATGAAACTGTCTATGAGTCAACTCCAGAGAATGAGTCTGTAAAATCCACAAAAACTCTTCAATGGGCACAAAAAGGCGAAATAGTGATGAAGATGATATCAATTATGATTATGATTATCATGTTTGTTAAATACAACTGCTTCAAGGTCACGTCAGGCCAAGGTCGCCCATCAATTGTTTTGAGGGCATCTAGAAGCTTGAGTACTTCTAAATCCATATATGGTATCCTTATTCACCCATCAATGACAAACAACTGTTACATTATGTAATTTCAAGGTCGCCCATCAATTGTTTTGAGGGCATCTAGAAGCTGGAGTACTTCTAAATCCACATATGGTATCCTTACTCACCCATCAATGACAAACAACCGATACATTATGTAATTTCAAGGTCGCCCATCAGTTGACTGACAAACTGATACAAGGTCATGAAAGGTCAAGGTCAGCCAACAGTTGACTCTGACAAACAACAAAGACACACTTGTATAATTACTGTTGTATTTATTGAAAATGGTTGACCCTGAAGGTCACAGTACATCAATGTGAAGGCCATCCAGTTTATTAGGAATACTGTGCAGACTGCGGACCTCACACTATGGCAGCCATACAAGGATGTATACAAACACATACAAAAGATGTTTATGAAAAACACATTTCCCTCTCGCTCTCAAACATACAAAATTTACAAAATCAAATCTCTAAACAGCATCCACAACTGATCAAAACCACACAAATTAAGCCAAACATTTAACGAAACCTGATGACAGACTTGCTAAGAGCTGTCCAACATTAGACCCAACTGCCTAGAAACATGACCACACTTGTCGTTTTCAGAATGGGCCTGGAAAGGATGTCCTGGGCGTTTACAGACAAATTTGCTCATCTCTGAATATTTATTCTCTGCCGTTCACTTACAGCTGTAATATTGCTGGCCTGGATATAAAACCCCATTCACTCACTCACGCACTCACAGAATATATATAAACAACCATCAGCAAGTCTATGAACCTAGCAATAAGGACTATCACTCATTCTAATTACATTCATTTATTGAAATAATAAACATGTCTATTCTCGATATATATTTCACTTGTTTAAGATGTCTAGTCAATGTCAATCTAGAGTAGCAAAAGGATATTTTGTTAGAAATGTGTTATTTACACTGAAAAAGACACTTTGATGAAATGGATTAGCTGAATTAATGAACACACGTGATATACTCCCTTTAAAGCTTTAAAATACCCCTCTGCTAATCAGGCTGTAGACTAGGTGGTCATTGCAATTGAAATGGTTGCTTTTCTCACCTTCTAAATTACCTATCAATCTATTTATAATTTATTCAAGCATAAACAAAAATATCAAAAACATCTAATTGTATAAGCAAAATTAAAATATATAACTTTTTATCTAAATTCTCTATAAAATGTAAACCTCAGTTTAAGAATACTTTATACATATATGTTAAATAAATGATCTAACATGGGTGAAAGTACATGGTTCTTAAAAGTATATTATAAAAGCCATTTATTTAGAACTTCTATTGTACAATGTTCGGACTAGGTTCAATAGTTTTGGCCACAAGTTTAATATACAAATAAAACTATAATCTACCACATGAGAAAGGCATTGTGCTTTTTATTGCTGTGTCAGTATAAAAAAAAGACATCTTTTTACATGTTTTTTTCTTTCTCTACAAATAAACATTGTATTGTTTCAGTTTGCACTGTGTGATATTCCAAGCACTTGATCTGCGTGAATGCTGACGGCTGTCGACTGTACACTACAAATAAGGGAAGAATCTGTTGATGAGGAAATATTGGTGGATACAAGATACAGAGGACATCATCTGACAAGCTTCCTATGATGAACATTTAGTCATATTCTATACATCAAGCTAGATTCCACATTCCTGTATATTTGCAATTGATGTTTAAACAGATATTTATAGATTATTCATGCTGGACTTCAAGTCTCACTCTGTACACATCATACTGTCACTAGAACCAGAGTAAGGATCTCCTAGGAAACCAAGGAAATAAACATGACAACATGCTATGTGGGACAGTCAGGAAACACTCAAACAACATTCATGGATATTTGTGTGTATATGTCAGTCTCTCTTGTCTCTAGATTTACAACATAAATTCAGCAATGATTATTAGCTTGCCCCTTCAAGGTCACCAAGCTCCCAGGTCTACCTGCCAAACATATTCTGACATTTAAAGCTTATCCAATGAAAATCCAAGGACATATAGATATGCAAATAAGAAGGTCACCCAAAAGCAATCTGATTGGTCCACACACACTGGAGTTGGTCAACTTCTACTTTTACTTGGAGATTTGGGTGCTTGTGATACTCTTGGGGCAAGGTTGCAGTAGAGAGGTTACTTGAACACTAGTACTCCATAGAACTCGTAGTCACTACAAATGTTGGTCTATATTCTCACAGATGCCTACACAATACTCCATAGGACTCGTAGTCACTACAAATATCGGTCTATATTCTCACAGATGCCTACACAATTGTCATATATCATGATATATACACAGAAACACAAACAATTCTACACATATCCCCTGTCTCCTGGACAGGAAGCGGCTATATACACGAATGTGTTGACATAAAACCCTACTTACAGTATTTGCATAGCTAACGAATGTATATACACAAGTACAGCAAGTATCACACCTTTCATGGCTCGTGTCGCCTCTAGGGGGCGCCACCAGGGTGTGGAGGCGAGCCGACAACGGTAATGTACAAAAATAAACTCTGATATGATCAACAATGGTGCTACCATGACAACGAGCGATTTTATCACTTGATTTAATACTTGTACACAGTCGCAGGAGAAATGAGAAAATTAGCTACGATGTCATGGTAACGGAATCATGAGTGATTATCGATGGAAAAATCTCCCATAGATCCTCAAGGTTTCTATAATACCTTTAAATCCCTCCCCCATCTCATTTGACATCATAATGTTTGTAGGCCAAAGCCATTACATTGTCCTATATTGCTTCTTGACAGTCTGGAAACAGTGGGAGTGGTCAGTCACATTAATGGAAGATTATCCTCAGAAGATTACTGGTGAAATGCAGACATTCTCAGCGATGACACTGACCAGTAAGTTTTATGGAGGCGGACATTTTAGGAATTCTGTGAAACAATGTAGCCATCTCAGTCTTCAGCATCAAAGATACGAAGACACGACTGGCATACTCTGAAAAGTTTATTAATAAACAGACTTCGAACAAATTGTCCTGGCCTTGTTACGAATTGTCCCACCCTGTCCTAGAAGTCCACACTACAAATTTGGCACTATTGTTCTGTGACAACCCAGTTATTATCCGATGATGAAGATATCACCGATGATGATTAAGATATCACCAATGATGATGAAGATATGATGATCATTGAACACAGTGCTGGAAACATGTTGCTATGACAATGAAGTATTTACAGATGAAGTTGAAGCAGCTCTCTGATACCAGCTAAATGTCAGAACAGAACTGATTCACTGTTTCCAGGGCATGATCTCATCACACCAGCCATTAGGATTAAACTAACTAGAGAACACTGCTAATCCCCTGTGTTACCATAAGTGACCCTCTTGGTTCCTCCATAGACTGCCAAAGTGAGAGAGTGAGTGAGTGAAATAGACTACAAATAATGTGCCCATTTAGGGAGTCAAACCCAGGCCTGCAACAAGACGAGCAAATGCATTAACCACTGGGCTACCCCACCGCCCCAAACACCAATAGCTACAACTACCAGGTCAAGTCCACTAAACATGTATTTTAATCTTCGATGCTATCAAGTTTTGAAAGATAGTAAATATCTTGATTGATAAACATTACATCCCAGGTTTCCCCCTTAAAAAACCCTGTTTCTAAAACACTAACATGCCAGGAAACACTGAATCAGTTTTACTCACCAAACTAAGCTCTGTTATTTCTTGAACATTAAAAAGAAAGAGAAAAGACTGTGTCCAGTCCCAAAAGTAGACAGTCTTCAATATCAGAGAGCTTTAACAGCATAGCTTTCAGCAGTTGGTTGATAGATGCCATAGAAATACAGTAACATATTCAGATCCACCAAATATAATGGCACACTCATTCCAAAAACTCAATGGAATTCTCAAATGAGATTCAATTTCAAATTTAACAAATTTTGATGGAATCTTTTAGTTTGGCCTACTGTGGCCATAGGCAGCAGGGTAGAAGAGTGTAGGCCAATCTGTGTAAGCTCAAACTCAATTCTCCGATAGTTCACGGGCACAACTTGGTCTCAACAAAGAACTTGCAATAAAACAACGCTCTTCTGCGATCTTATAATAAACAGCATTGCACCATGGAATCGGATGATTAACTACAAATGCTACAAAAAGATTTGCCCTTGTAAGATTTTTGACTTTATCAGTTACTGCCCTGTTGATAACACTGTGTTGTGACTCGTGATGGTACAGGTCCAGTCCAGGTCCAGGTCCTCAGGCTCACAGGGCCAAACAGGTGAGGTGGACCAGTCACTGTTTAGTCCATTATGCCAGCTGTACTTGGGTAAGACAGAGAATCTCACTCGAGTGTCTTTTGATATCAAATATATTGAGTCTCGATATATTTGATATCAAAAGACACTCGGGTGAGATTTTATTTATCATCCAACATCATTCTTCTATTTTTTTCAGTTTGTAGACAGTAATAAGCAGTGTCTTAAGCATAAAAAGTACTGCTAACAGCTTCAGTAGTAGAGCCATTAGTGATGTCATTTGATTATGACGTCATGGTAAAAAATGACATCACAATGGTCTGCAAAACATTGTGATGCAATTTCATTGCAGTGAATCTACAATGTAGATATATCACTTGATCTCCCCCAAGCGATATCGCCTGTGGCAGCCAGTTTTGGAGGATAAATTGTCTTTAGTGTTGTACTTAAGCTACATCAGAAGAAAACATCAATTTAGTTTTCCAAATTTTGAACCCTTATGTTCTAAAAACTGTAGTACGGTAGATATGACTGTGACAGAAACTGTAGTAGGGTAGATATGACTGTGACAGAAACGGTAGTAGGGTAGATATGACTGTGACAGAAACTGTAGTACGGTAGATATGACTGTGACAGAAACTGTAGTAGGGTAGATATGACTGTGACAGAAACGGTAGTACGGTAGATATGACTGTGACAGAAACGGTAGTACGGTGTGATGTGGTTGTGTGAGTGTGTAGCAACTGCTTGTCAACCTCATGCTAATTCAAATACAGCCCTAATTACTGACAATGAATCCAACAGGACAGTAACTGGTAAATGTTTTTCAATGCATAGTGCATCATAAGACACTGCATGTAAACAGTTACAAAACATGGCTCCCAAACTCTCCTGCAGTCAAAGGAACAATTAAACTAAGTTTTCTTACCTGAACATGACAAGAAAATCTTCAAATACACCAATCATTCTTCCAGCATGAAACATGAATGTACTGCCTAACTATTGAAACTTTCAAGTTTGTGTTTGTCTACGTGAGGAAAAGTCATAAACGTAAAGACGTCAAGCATGTGACGGCCAACACCTTATCTGTTTTTTCCGTAGATAGCAACTCCACCTGTTGGCCAAAAAAGGCACTATTTCTCGGTGCATCATGGGAAACTGCTTTGCGAAAACCAAAGCTTGAAAGACAATGAGCTGTTAATGGAAGTTCCATGGTTACCATGACAACCATCGCTATGGGAAAGCTTTTTGTTGCTTTGACAATATCAAATTTTATCAAATTCCTCTCTAGATGTTAAAATTCCCATGACCGACATACAAAGTGTTCTAGTATTTGAAGTATTTTCATGCAAAATGGTGATCTTAAAAATATGGTACCTTATTCCACAGGACAAACTCTGAGATTCCATATTGTTAAAACATTCTAAGAACAACGGTACAAGAAAGTGACAAGAAGATGGTAGAAGTCTGAGTATTATGAATGCACTTGTATATATAACAATATGAATAAAGCTCCAATCTGACATCGGAAGGGACAGACTGTCAAACGTTATCAAACACAACATGTTGAGTCTCACCTGCAGAGCTGATTTGTTTGGTCTGCAAGCACCCTACAAGAATGACATCCCAAAATTACTTGGCACTTGATTTGTGGCATATCTACTAGGATAGGTGCAAACATATTGTCAAAATACTTCCATGAAAATAAGCAGCTATAAGATTCTATAGTTTTGAGCAGAAGTCTAGAAATGTCATGAGCAATAGCCATTATTTTTAAGTATGTTTTTGCAGACTGAAAGGGTTATTATTCATATGCGCTGTTAAAAGGTAATGGTAATATACAATGCATGAAGCTGACATTATTGGGTGATTTATAGCACAATTAGCCGTCATTTCTACACAATCATCAGTGTAGGTCAAACAAATCAGGATATTTCATTGTCGTATATCGCTTATTGTCGATATACCCGACCAATTTGGTCACATGACTAGCTCATATATATCCTGATCTAAGACCGTGATAGAGGTCATTATTTTATCTCTGAACACAAACAGACACTCAGTTTGTAGTCCACAATGTGTGTTTCCAGCATTGATTGTCTTTCAAAGTCACACACATTCTTGTCCACACTTGATGTGTCACTGGGAATATATCAACTTATTGTTGTGCACAAGCGCCTGGAGTTCTAGTTAAAAAAAAGCACCAGTGTCTCAGCTGGGAGTTCTAATAAAAAACACCTCACTGGTTTCCATCCAAACAGAAACAAGCGTCAATCCATGGTGGTCAGCTGATGAAATAATCAGAATGAAATACTGCTCCATTAATTATTTCCGAAGACAATTCAGTCAGAAAGGCAACATTAAACTAAATGTGCATAGACGTCCGCAGCACCAAGAAAGGGAGATAACTCCAACATGATCTCCCCGAGCAGCTAGAGCACCGAGTTGAGTGGCTCACGCACGTGAAGGGAGAGGAAGAGATTGGTCCTAGGGCCTTGTGGCACTGTGGGAACTAGCAGACTGCATCTCCTTCCATCACTGTTTGAACCTGCTCCAGTTTAATGCCGAGTTTACTTCTCCTGGCAAACTCATCCTCCTCCAGAGCACACATGATCTACAACAAGAAACAGTGAGTGAGTGAGTGAGTGAGTGAGTGATGCCTCCTCCAGAGCACACATGATCTACAACAAGAAACAGCACCGTGAGTGAGTGAGTGAGTGATGCCTCCTCCAGAGCACACATATCTACAACAAGAAACAGCACAGTGAGTGAGTGAGTGATGCCTCCTCCAGAGCACACATGATCTACAACAAGAAACAGCACAGTGAGTGGGTGAGTGAGTGATGCCTCCTCCAGAGCACACATGATCTACAACAAGAAACAGCACCGTGAGTGAGTGATGCCTCCTCCAGAGCACACATGATCTACAACAAGAAACAGCACCGTGAGTGAGTGAGTGAGTGATGCCTCCTCCAGAGCACACATGATCTACAACAAGAAACAGTGAGTGAGTGAGTGATGCCTCCTCCAGAGCACACATGATCTACAACAAGAAACAGCACCGTGAGTGAGTGAGTGATGCCTCCTCCAGAGCACACATGATCTACAACAAGAAACAGCACCGTGAGTGAGTGAGTGATGCCTCCTCCAGAGCACACATGATCTACAACAAGAAACAGCACCGTGAGTGAGTGAGTGATGCCTCCTCCAGAGCACACATGATCTACAACAAGAAACAGCACCGTGAGTGAGTGAGTGAGTGAGTGAGTGAGTGAGTGAGTGATGCCTCCTCCAGAGCACACATGATCTACAACAAGAAACAGCACCGTGAGTGAGTGAGTGAGTGATGCCTCCTCCAGAGCACACATGATCTACAACAAGAAACAGCACCGTGAGTGAGTGAGTGATGCCTCCTCCAGAGCACACATGATCTACAACAAGAAACAGCACAGTGAGTGAGTGAGTGAGTGATGCCTCCTCCAGAGCACACATGATCTACAACAAGAAACAGTGAGTGAGTGAGTGATGCCTCCTCCAGAGCACACATGATCTACAACAAGAAACAGTGAGTGAGTGAGTGATGCCTCCTCCAGAGCACACATGATCTACAACAAGAAACAGAACCGTGAGTGAGTGAGTGATGCCTCCTCCAGAGCACACATGATCTACAACAAGAAACAGCACCGTGAGTGAGTGAGTGATGCCTCCTCCAGAGCACACATGATCTACAACAAGAAACAGCACAGTGAGTGAGTGAGTGAGTGATGCCTCCTCCAGAGCACACATGATCTACAACAAGAAACAGCACCGTGAGTGAGTGAGTGAGTGATGCCTCCTCCAGAGCACACATGATCTACAACAAGAAACAGTGAGTGAGTGAGTGAGTGATGCCTCCTCCAGAGCACACATGATCTACAACAAGAAACAGCACCGTGAGTGAGTGAGTGATGCCTCCTCCAGAGCACACATGATCTACAACAAGAAACAGCACAGTGAGTGAGTGAGTGAGTGATGCCTCCTCCAGAGCACACATGATCTACAACAAGAAACAGCACCGTGAGTGAGTGAGTGAGTGAGTGATGCCTCCTCCAGAGCACACATGATCTACAACAAGAAACAGCACAGTGAGTGAGTGATGCCTCCTCCAGAGCACACATGATCTACAACAAGAAACAGCACAGTGAGTGAGTGAGTGAGTGAGTGATGCCTCCTCCAGAGCACACATGATCTACAACAAGAAACAGCACAGTGAGTGAGTGAGTGAGTGATGCCTCCTCCAGAGCACACATGATCTACAACAAGAAACAGCACCGTGAGTGAGTGAGTGAGTGATGCCTCCTCCAGAGCACACATGATCTACAACAAGAAACAGCACCGTGAGTGAGTGAGTGATGCCTCCTCCAGAGCACACATGATCTACAACAAGAAACAGCACCGTGAGTGAGTGAGTGAGTGATGCCTCCTCCAGAGCACACATGATCTACAACAAGAAACAGCACCGTGAGTGAGTGAGTGATGCCTCCTCCAGAGCACACATGATCTACAACAAGAAACAGCACCGTGAGTGAGTGAGTGAGTGATGCCTCCTCCAGAGCACACATGATCTACAACAAGAAACAGCACAGTGAGTGAGTGAGTGAGTGATGCCTCCTCCAGAGCACACATGATCTACAACAAGAAACAGCACCGTGAGTGAGTGAGTGAGTGAGTGATGCCTCCTCCAGAGCACACATGATCTACAACAAGAAACAGCACAGTGAGTGAGTGAGTGAGTGATGCCTCCTCCAGAGCACACATAATCTACAACAAGAAACAGCACAGTGAGTGAGTGAGTGAGTGATGCCTCCTCCAGAGCACACATGATCTACAAGAAACAGCACAGTGAGTGAGTGAGTGAGTGATGCCTCCTCCAGAGCACACATGATCTACAACAAGAAACAGCACAGTGAGTGAGTGAGTGAGTGATGCCTCCTCCAGAGCACACATGATCTACAACAAGAAACAGCACAGTGAGTGAGTGAGTGAGTGATGCCTCCTCCAGAGCACACATGATCTACAACAAGAAACAGCACAGTGAGTGAGTGAGTGAGTGATGCCTCCTCCAGAGCACACATGATCTACAACAAGAAACAGCACCGTGAGTGAGTGAGTGAGTGAGTGAGTGAGTGAGTGGGTGGGTGGGTGGGTGGGTGAGTGAGTGAGTGAGTGAGTGAGTGAGTAAGTGGGTCAGTGAGTGAGTGAGTCAGTGAGTGAGTGAGTCAGTGAGTGAGTGAGTGAGTGAGTGAGTGAGGGTGTGTGGGTGGGTGGGTGAGTGAGTGAGTGAGTGGGTGGGTGGGTGGTTGAGTGAGTGAGTGAGTGAGTGAGTGAGGGTGGGTGGGTGGGTGAGTGAGTGAGTGAGTGAGTGGGTGGGTGGGTGGTTGAGTGAGTGAGTGAGTGAGTGAGTGAGTGAGTGAGTGAGGGTGGGTGGGTGGGTGGGTGAGTGAGTGAGTGAGTGGGTGGGTGAGTAGGGTGAGTGAGTGAGTGGTGGAGTGGGTGGGTGGGTGAGTGAGTGAGTGGGTTGGTGAGTTGGGTGGTTGGGTAAGTGAGTGAGTGAGTGAGTGGGTTGGTGAGTTGGATGGTTGAGTGAGTGAATGAGTGAGTGAGTGAGTGGGTGAGTTGGGTGGTAGGGTGAATGAGTGAGTGAGTGAGTGAGTGAGTGATTGGGTGGGTGAGTGAGTGGTTGGGTGGGTGGGTGAGTTGGGAGAGTGAGTGAGTGAGTGAGTGAGTGAGGAGTGGGTAGTGAGTGAGTTGGTAAGTGGGTGGGTGTGATGGAGACAGCATTAACAGTATTTGAGTCATATCACACAAAGACGTCAATGAAAACTGTTTCTCACCTCTTCGTAGTATTTCTGTATGTATTTATACAGCTCCATGAGAGCAGCGTTCGTGTTGAATTCTCCTTGGTGTAACTGAAAATAAACAGTTCATATTAAGTTCTTCAAGATCAAGTATAGGCAAGATGGACCAGGTCTACTCTTCAGACCTGGCACCCTCTACCCAATTCAGTACAATTCATCAGCCTCTACTGAATTGGTTACAATTCATCAGCCTCTACTGAATTCGGTACAATTCATCAGCCTCTACTGAATTCAGTACAATTCACCAGCCTCTACTGAATTCAGTACAATTCACCAGCCTCTACCATATTCAGTACAATTCATCAGCCTCTACTGAATTGGTTACAATTCACCAGCCTCTACCCAATTCAGTACAATTCATCAGCCTCTACTGAATTCAGTACAATTCATCAGCCTTTACTGAATTCAGTACAATTCATCAGCCTCTACTGAATTGGTTACAATTCATAAGCCTCTACTGAATTGGTTACAATTCATCAGCCTCTACTGAATTGGTTACAATTCATAAGCCTCTACTGAATTGGTTACAATTCATAAGCCTCTACTAAATTTAGTACAATTTATCAGCCTCTACTGAATTCAGTACAATTCATCAGCCTCTACTGAATTCAGTACAATTCATCAGCCTCTACTGAATTCAGTACAATTCATCAGCCTCTACTGAATTCAGTACAATTCATCAGTCTCTACTGAATTCAGTACAATTCATCAGCCTCTACTGAATTCAGTACAATTCATCAGCCTCTACTGAATTCAGTACAATTCATCAGCCTTTACTGAATTCAGTACAATTCATCAGCCTCTACTGAATTGGTTACAATTCATAAGCCTCTACTGAATTGGTTACAATTCATCAGCCTCTACTGAATTGGTTACAATTCATAAGCCTCTACTGAATTGGTTACAATTCATAAGCCTCTACTGAATTTAGTACAATTTATCAGCCTCTACTGAATTCAGTACAATTCATCAGCCTCTACTGAATTCAGTACAATTCATCAGCCTCTACTGAATTCAGTACAATTCATCAGCCTCTACTGAATTCAGTACAATTTATCAGCCTCTACTGAACTCGGTACAATTCATCAGCCTCTACTGAATTCAGTACAATTCATCAGCCTCTACTGAATTCAGTACAATTCATCAGCCTCTACTGAACTCGGTACAATTCATCAGCCTCTACTGAATTCAGTACAATTCATCAGCCTCTACTGAATTCAGTACAAGTCATCACCTTCTACTGAATTCAGTACAAGTCATCAGCCTCTACTGAATTCAGTACAATTCATAAGCCTCTACTGTATTCATCCCTGGATGAAATGAACGTCAATGCAGTTGTATATAATTACCCTTGATTCCTCAGTCAACATGGCTGTCATGTCTTGATCACTAATGGCAGGCATCATTTTGATGTCTTGGTAGTATCTGGGGAAAGAAAACACCATATAATACATATATATGATGCACAATATAATCCCATCAGCCCTGAACATGGATACAGAGAGCAAATGCATGGCGAAAGTATATCTGATCAGATCTGTCAACCCAGGATTGTGTCTCATCAGGAACAGACATAATAATTTGTTTGTGGGGATCAAACCCAACCCTGTGCTCAACAAGCTGACACACTGACCACTTGACTACAAACTCAAGTGGGTGAGGTGAGGTGAGGTGAGGTGGGGTGAGGTGAGGTGAGGTGAGGTGAGGTGAGGTGAGGTGAGGTGAGGTGAGGTGAAATGGGTCTAATGTCGCGTCCAAGATTATTGCACTTATAAAGCGACATGCATGCACGTGTGTGTGTGTGTGGGGGGGGGTGGCTGCTTGTATTAGTCCGGACTGATGCCGATTTATAGTGCTGGCCCAATGAGATACCATGCTGCAGTTTGACATGAATATCCCACTCAGACTCCGAGCTGACCAGTCCTTGTTTTAACCCCTTAATGCAAAGGGCCAGACAGGGTAACAACAAGTACAGTCTTTAAAAGTCTTTCAGTATGACACAACTGGGGATCACACAGTAAGGAGCATCCTGAAAGTTCATATGTTACCTCTCCACCCATTTCTTGTATTTGGGGATATCTTTGGCATAGAGTAGTTTACTAGAAGGAGAATCTTTGCCCAGTCTGTGTTCACTGACAGAGCAAGAGTCCATGAACGTCTGCCCGACCACCGTCAAGCATGAGTCCACAATCGGGGACTTGTAGATGTCGAACACAAAGTTGGGGTTCTTGATCACATTTACCCAGAAACGAAGAGGTAGACTGAAAAGTAATAAACATATATTGTACATATATTGTATCTGGCTTGTAAACTCATAAAAGCTGTACTGTACAAGGTCACTGGGTAGGCAGTACTATGCATTGCTATTAGTGTATGAACTGTCAAGGGGAGTCAGTACTATGCAAGGCTAGTCAGTACTATGCAAGGCTAGTCAGTACTATGCAAGGCTAGTCAGAACTATGCAAGGCTAGTAGTGTATGAACTGTCAAGGGGAGTCAGTACTATGCAAGGCTAGTAGTGTATGAACTGTCAAGGGGAGTCAGTACTATGCAAGGCTAGTCAGTACTATGCAAGGCTAGTCAGTACTGTGCAAGGCTAGTCAGTACTGTGCAAGGCTAATCAGTACTGTGCAAGGCTAGTAGTGTATGAACTGTCAATGGGAGTCAGTACTATGCAAGGCTAGTCAGTACTATGTAAGGCTAGTCAGAACTATGCAAGGCTAGTAGTGTATGAACTGTCAAGGCTTGTCAGTACTTTGCAAGGCTAGTCAGTACTATGCAAGGCTAGTCAGGACTATGGAAGGCTAGTCAGTACTATGCAAGGCTAGTCAGTACTATGCAAGGCTAGTAGTGTATGAACTGTCAAGGGTAGTCAGTACTATGCAAGGCTAGTAGTGTATGAACTGTCAAGGCTAGTCAGAACTATGCAAGGCTAGTAGTGTATGAACTGTCAAGGGCAGTCAGTACTATGCAAGGCTAGTCAGTACTGTGCAAGGCAAGTCAGTACTATGCAAGGCTAGTAGTGTTAGTACTTTCAAGGGGAGTCAGTACTATGCAAGGCTAGTCAGTACTATGCAAGGCTAGTCAGTACTGTGCAAGGCTAGTCAGTACTGTGCAAGGCTAGTCAGTACTGTGCAAGGCTAGTCAGTACTATGCAAGGCTAGTAGTGTTAGTTCTGTCAAGGGGGGTCAGTACTATGCAAGGCTAGTCAGTACTATGCAAGGGTAGTCAGAACTATGCAAGGCTAGTAGTGTATGAACTGTCAAGGCTTGTCAGTACTTTGCAAGGCTAGTCAGTACTATGCAAGGCTAGTCAGGACTATGGAAGGCTAGTCAGTACTATGCAAGGCTAGTCAGTACTATGCAAGGCTAGTAGTGTATGAACTGTCAAGGGTAGTCAGTACTATGCAAGGCTAGTAGTGTATGAACTGTCAAGGCTAGTCAGAACTATGCAAGGCTAGTAGTGTATGAACTGTCAAGGGCAGTCAGTACTATGCAAGGCTAGTCAGTACTGTGCAAGGCAAGTCAGTACTATGCAAGGCTAGTAGTGTTAGTACTTTCAAGGGGAGTCAGTACTATGCAAGGCTAGTCAGTACTATGCAAGGCTAGTCAGTACTGTGCAAGGCTAGTCAGTACTGTGCAAGGCTAGTCAGTACTGTGCAAGGCTAGTCAGTACTATGCAAGGCTAGTAGTGTTAGTTCTGTCAAGGGGGGTCAGTACTATGCAAGGCTAGTCAGTACTATGCAAGGGTAGTCAGGTCTGTGCAAGGCTAGTCAGTACTATGCAAGGCTAGTAGTGTACGAACTGTCAAGGGGAGTCAGTACTTTGCAAGACTAGTCAGTACTATGCAAGGCTAGAAATGTACCAACTGTCAAGGGGAGACAGTACTATGCAAGGCTAGTCAGTACTATGCAAGGCTAGTCAGTACTGTGCAAGGCTAGTCAGTACTATTCAAGGCTAGTAGTGTTAGTACTGTCAAGGGGAGTCAGTACTATGCAAGGCTAGTCAGTACTATGCAAGGCTAGTCAGTACTATGTAAGGCTAGTCAGTACTATGCAAGGCTAGTAGTGTACGAACTGTCAAGGGGAGTCAGTACTTTGCAAGACTAGTCAGTACTATGCAAGGCTAGTAGTGTATGAAGTGTCAAGGCTAGTCAGGACTATGCAAGGCTAGCCAGTACTGTGCAAGGCTAGTCAGTACTATGCAAGGCTAGCCAGTACTATGCAAGGCTAGTCAGTACTATGCAAGACTAGTAGTGTACAAACTGTCAAGACTAGTCAGTACTATGCAAGGCTAGTAGTGTATGAACTGTCAAGACTAGTCAGTACTATGCAAGGCTAGTCAGGACTATGCAAGGCTAGCCAGTACTATGCAAGGCTAGTAGTGTTAGTACTATGCAGGGCTAGTCAGTACTATGCAAGGCTAGTGGTGTACGAACTGTCAATACTAGTCAGTACTTTGCAAGGCTAGTCAGGACTATGCAAGGCTAGCCAGTACTATACAAGGCTAGTAGTGTTAGTACTATGCAAGGCTAGTCAGTACTATGCAAGGCTAGCAGTGTACGAACTGTCAAGACTAGTCAGTACTATGCAAGGCTAGTAGTGTATGAACTGTCAAGACTAGTCAGTACTATGCAAGGCTAGTCAGGACTATGCAAGGCTAGCCAGTACTATGCAAGGCTAGTAGTGTTAGTACTATGCAGGGCTAGTCAGTACTATGCAAGGCTAGTGGTGTACGAACTGTCAATACTAGTCAGTACTTTGCAAGGCTAGTCAGGACTATGCAAGGCTAGCCAGTACTATACAAGGCTAGTAGTGTTAGTACTATGCAAGGCTAGTCAGTACTATGCAAGGCTAGCAGTGTACGAACTGTCAAGACTAGTCAGTACTATGCAAGGCTAGTAGTGTACGAACTGTCAAGGGGAGTCAGTACTGTGTAGAGCTAGTCAGTACTATGCAAAGGTAGTAGTTAGTCGTTCCCTGTACCTGTTGGATTTCCACGTGTGGACTGTCTCGTGCTCCTGTATGTTGTGGAGCAGAGCCTGGTCGTCCAGGAAGTCAAACATATACTTGATGGCTAGCGGCAGTGCGGAACCACGGTGTGCTGTGCTGAATATACGCTCAAACAAGTCATCCACAAACTGCTGGAGTGTACCCTGTGGAACAAAGATGGGGTTTCATTGAAGACATGTCACAGTGCCTGGTACAAGTGTCCCTGGCTCCAGAAGACCTAGTGACCCATGTACTCTGGGTACAGTTCTACACCAAGACAGCCAAACCTCTCCAGGTCTCCAAAGTATCAAGTGGAGGTCATTTACAACAAACGTCTACAAACAGTAAGATGAACAGTAATTTACATATTGCTAATGTCTTGCTTATTCATAGCTTATGTTGGAAGATTTTTCTTACCTTTGTTACGAGCAATCTGGGCAGGTAGATCTCTGTCACCATCTTACTCCCACGGTCACCCTCCTTCTGGGCATCAGTGTCATGGTGACGCACCTGCAGACACACAGACAGACACATATCAGACACAACTGGAGACACATCCTACCCAGCTCTCCATGGGAATATCAATCACAAGTACAGTTTCAAGAGCCATGCAGCCCAAATACAACATCTCCAGATGAAGTTCTATGTAACAAGGACAATGTGACATCATTATCTGCAGTGCTTGTGACTGGAGGTCATGAGGTCATTGTCATCACTTGTCATACTTTGTATAGATCCAGTCCCTGTGTAAGACCTTAAAACAACAGCAGGAAAAGGACTTGTGATAAAAATGGCAAAGATACTTTACAAATCACCTTGGCATTGACGTGACCTTACACAGAGGGAGATAACTCACAACCATGTTGGTTGGTTGGTTGGTTGGTTGGTTGGTTGGTTGGTTGTTTTACGCTGCACTCAGCAATATTCCAGCTATATGATGGCAGTCTCTACATAATCGATTCTGGACCAGACAATCCAGTGATTGATATCATGAGCATCTATCCACACAACCATGTATCCGACCCAAAGGTTGAGATGGTCATAGTTCTGTTGATCTGTTTGGAAACAGGCTATGACCTTGGGAATGTCCTTGACCTCATAGAGTATTGTCGGATTACAGGTTTTCAGACAATACGTTTTCGGATGTTTATCGTGACTACTCATGTTATAACGGGGGACGTGTGTGTGAAGCATCACTCAGATATTGTAAATACTCATAGAATGGCTTGTTTTAAGAGATAGTTGTCTTTTAAAAGTGAATGAGATGTTTTACAGTTGTTCATGTGATTAGAGAGAAAACTGGGAATGTTTCTTAAGCGTCCAAAAACCCATACCACGGGGAAATGTTTGCAGCTTTCAGGGTGGCGTGGGCACATCTCCCATAATACATTTGTTGGGTTGAGTTAGGGAATCTATGAAGAGTATTTATGACACTGTGTCCGACAGGGTGACTGGGTTGAGTTAGGGAATCTGTGAAGAGTATTTATGACACTGTGTCTGACAGGTTGACTGGGTTGAGTTAGGGAATCTATGAAGAGTATTTATGACACGGTGTCTGACAGGTTGACTGGGTTGAGTTAGGGAATCTATGAAGAGTATTTATGACACGGTGTCTGACAGGTTGACTGGGTTCAGTTAGGGAATCTATGAAGAGTATTTATGACACTGTGTCTGACAGGTTGACTGGGTTGAGTTAGGGAATCTATGAAGAGTATTTATGACACGGTGTCTGACAGGTTGACTGGGTTGAGTTAGGGAATCTATGAAGAGTATTTATGACACTGTGTCTGACAGGTTGACTGGGTTGAGTTAGGGAATCTATGAAGAGTATTTATGACACGGTGTCTGACAGGTTGACTGGGTTGAGTTAGGGAATCTATGAAGAGTATTTATGACACGGTGTCTGACAGGTTGACTGGGTTGAGTTAGGGAATCTATGAAGAGTATTTATGACACTGTGTCTGACAGGTTGACTGGGTTGAGTTAGGGAATCTATGAAGAGTATTTATGACACGGTGTCTGACAGGTTGACTGGGTTGAGTTAGGGAATCTATGAAGAGTATTTATGACACGGTGTCTGACAGGTTGACTGGGTTGAGTTAGGGAATCTATGAAGAGTATTTATGACACTGTGTCTGACAGGTTGACTGGGTTGAGTTAGGGAATCTATGAAGAGTATTTATGACACGGTGTCTGACAGGTTGACTGGGTTGAGTTAGGGAATCTATGAAGAGTATTTATGACACGGTGTCTGACAGGGTGACTGGGTTGAGTTAGGGAATCTGTGAAGAGTATTTATGACACGGTGTCTGACAGGTTGACTGGGTTGAGTTAGGGAATCTATGAAGAGTATTTATGACACGGTGTCTGACAGGGTGACTGGGTTGAGTTAGGGAATCTATGAAGAGTATTTATGACACTGTCCGACAGGGTGACTGGGTTGAGTTAGGGAATCTATGAAGAGTATTTATGACACGGTGTCTGACAGGTTGACTGGGTTGAGTTAGGGAATCTATGAAGAGTATTTATGACACGGTGTCTGACAGGTTGACTGGGTTGAGTTAGGGAATCTATGAAGAGTATTTATGACACTGTCCGACAGGGTGACTGGGTTGAGTTAGGGAATCTATGAAGAGTATTTATGACACTGTGTCTGACAGGTTGACTGGGTTGAGTTAGGGAATCTATGAAGAGTATTTATGACACTGTCTGACAGGGTGACTGGGTTCAGTTAGGGAATCTATGAAGAGTATTTATGACACGGTGTCTGACAGGTTGACTGGGTAAGGTTATACTTACCAGATGGTAGAACTTGACTCCATTGTTGTCAAAGTCAACAGTCACAGACTGGGGCGATATCACAGTGCGGCTCATCGGTGGGCTCCGATTGAATGGCATTTGGTCTGAAACAAGCACCCAGGCTTCAAATTAGTTGCAATAAGGAATATTATTCACTGCCGTAACAGGAGAGTTGGAAACACCGCAGTCTGTTCAGTGATTACAAATACAAAAAGATTAAACACGCTTTGTCTCATGCCTCAGTTAGCAATATCACAGCTATCATCAGAGTGGCTGCACAGCGAATTGCGGCACCTTAGACAACCAGGCCACCTGTGCCCCCGTATAGCATTAGAGTAAGGCCACACATTTTTCAATTGTTCATTTCATGGGCCTGCCACCACTACTGAAAAGCAGCCGGTATAAGAATAAATAAAACCTAAAATGTATAATTTTTCTCCTACTAGTTATACAGACTCTCTTTTATACAATATAAAACGTTACAAATAAATTCCATGTATAAATCCACAGCAGAATGATTTTCTTATAAATATAAAATTGACATTTTTTATAATATTTTTACTTGGACCGACTTAGTGTGGCAAAGCTGGAACAAATCTGTGAAGCACAAGAATAAAAACGTGTTGCCGGAGGGCTGGACGGAAAGTACAATGATAGGGTTCAGGGACTGTGAGGCAAATCCATGGCTGATTAATACAAGCAAGAGAACAGGTCTTCCTGTACAAAGACACACAATAAACCCCTTCACACATCAGAACCAACCAACACACAGTTCAGCTGACGAGCATCCAGGCACCCTTCAGTGTTTCTGCCTTCCAAGATAACATTCAACATTTGAATACAGCTGGAATACACAGCAGTTCACCTGTATAACGACTTAAGTTGGAATTATGGGCTATAGATGAAGATACTCACCAAACTTGTTTGATTTATCTGATATGATAGAGGAGTTGTAGACAGAATCTTGTTTGGGTACAATGGCAACATATGCTCCATCGGGAACCTGTGAAATATCAAGATGAGAAATGATGTACAGTGTCGTCATGACAACCTACTTTTGTCAAGTAATGATGCGGGAGGTGTGCCAGTTTAACTATTGTTTGAAGGGATCCAAGTTCAGGGCTACAAATGTTTTCTGACACCTTCCAAACCTGAATTGTCTTCCAAGAAGATTTTCAACAGATATAAATATTAAACATATAGACTTTTATTAGGTACATTTATGAACATTTACTATCCCTAGAATAAATGTAATTTGGCAAACCTTTGGCTATTTCATTATTTATTCAAACAGAAGATTGGAGTGGTCATGGGAGGGGGATTGGCACCTCTTTGAAAGTTAAAAAATTAAAAAGGGGCCCCCAGATTGGGTAGGGTGAAGTATCCTTGTCTACTGGGCCAAGATAGGATAGGGTGAAGTGTCCTTGTCTACTGGGCTCAGATAGGGTAGGGTGAAGGTATCCTTGTCTACTGGGCCCAGATAGGATAGGGTGAAGTGTCCTTGTCTACTGGGCTCAGATAGGGTAGGGTGAAGGTATCCTTGTCTACTGGGCCCAGATTGGGTAGGGTGAAGTGTCCTTGTCTACTGGGCCCAGATTGGGTAGGGTGAAGTATCCTTGTCTACTGGGCCCAGATAGGGTAGGGTGAAGGTATCCTTGTCTACTGGGCCCAGATTGGGTAGGGTGAAGTGTCCTTGTCTACTGGGCCCAGATTGGGTAGGGTGAAGTATCCTTGTCTACTGGGCCCAGATAGGGTAGGGTGAAGGTATCCTTGTCTACTGGGCCCAGATTGGGTAGGGTGAAGTAGCCTTGTCTACTGGGCCCAGATAGGGTAGGGTGAAGGTATCCTTGTCTACTGGGCTCAGATAGGGTAAGGTGAAGGTATCCTTGTCTACTGGGCCCAGATAGGGTAGGGTGAAGGTATCCTTGTCCACTGGGCCCAGATAGGATAGGATGAAGGTATCCTTGCTAAATTGGCCCAAATAAGGGAGGTGGGAGAATCCTCATGCTACATACCTGATAATGGTTGAGAGTATTCAACCTCTTGCAGTCACTCTCTGTTTTAGACGAGGTGTCCTCGTCGTGAAGAATCAGCTGTCGCGATTTTTCATGGCAGAGCCATTCTGGTGGATGACCAAATAAAACTGTCAATAAGGAAATGACACAGCCCCGTTAACCCCGCTCTGCAGTGTGGAGCGCCCTCTAGCATGCCAAGGGAGACAACCATATGATGATGATCGACGATGGTGATGTACATGCAGATAATTGGATCAACATGGTACGACTTGTTTGAGTGCAGAGATTAACCATTAGGAAGCTTCAGCATTATAAAATATATATTTCGTTGCTGTGGAAACAATTTTGGGGGAATGCTTAAATTTCTTTGGATATAATTTTGGTTGCTTCATCAGCATGAGTAACATTCTGATTTTTTCAAGATGTTTAGAAAAATGAAATAAATGGCTCAGTTAATGATCAATATTATATCCTGCAATACCAAACACTCGTCTTTTAAACAAATTCTAAGAAATATTTGAATTGTTCCTTTGGCCATTGCGTCAAATGTACATCCAGCATTCAAATCTTGCTGAGTGTTATCTCCCTTTAACTGGATATTGTTGTACCATGTTGAGGCAATGGGAATCAGACAGATGTCAGTTATTGTTGTAATGTCAGTCATATAGGCAGGGGAGGTAAGTACATGAGATATCTCCTTGTAGGACAGCCACTAAAACCAAATCTTTGATGCAATAAATGTTGAACAGTCATCGCCAGTGAGAACTCAGTCTCAGATGATGGTTATACCTATGTGGTAAGTCGTATCTGGACAACAGGATCTCAGAGCCTTAAAACTAGGGCTGGGACGATACACCAACTGTGGGATCCGATACGTATCACGATTCCTTGTTCGCGATCTGATATGTATCACGATTCCTTGTTCACGATCTGATATGTATCACGATACCTTGTTCACAATCCGATATGTAGCACGATACCTTGTTCACGATCCAATACGTATCACATACCTTGTTCACAATCCGATATGTAGCACGATACCTTGTTCACGATCCAATACGTATCACATACCTTGTTCACAATCCGATATGTAGCACGATACCTTGTTCACGATCCAATACGTATCACATACCTTGTTCACGATCCGATATGTAGCACGATACCTTGTTCACGATCCAATACGTATCACATACCTTGTTCACGATCCGATATGTAGCACAATTCTTTCATGCGCTCTTATCTGTGGTGCGTAAGCCATCAGGATGGCCAATACCTGGCACACTGAGGATATTTTACGTTTTCCATGCTATTTAGTGTTTGGTGTAAGAGTTATTACAGTAAACATTTATCAATATGTTTTACATAGTGTGCCACTGGGACCAATACTTGTATCGAGGAGTGAAAACTTGCAAACCACCAATGCATAGGTGTATCATCCCACCACTACTTAACACTCAATTTGCTTCAATAACTTACATTGTGACTTCATTGTCATTCATCTTTAGAGTTTGAATGTCCAGAGAGAGAACAATTTTGTACCAGTTGAAAGATGCAAGCATGGGATTAATCAGAAAACCTGGCATTAAACTAAAGTCTTAGGATTCAAAACCAGTTTAAAACAATCACCATATGTTTCAGTGAGTGAGTGAGTGAGTTGGGTTTAATGCCGCTTTTAACAGCATTCCAGTCATATCACTGTGTGTCACCTTAATGTGGGAGGAAAGCCCGAAGTGATGCAGGTCTCAGACGTTTAACAATTCGGTGAAACCCACGAGCACGGGTATGGTGCTGACAAACCTAGAATCATAATCGGGGCGAACCGGGATTCGAACCCACAATCATAGGTTTCTGGCATGCCAAAGGGACGCAACTGTGCACAGAAAATAGCAGCGCCTTAGACGACTGGGCCACCCCTGCTTCATTCATTGGGATTCAAACCCAGGACTTTACAGTGTCATGGGCCAAGCTACCTGACTGCATTTAGAAGTATTCTAGTAATGTCAGGACAGGTGACACTTGGAACAGGCTTCACTCATTGGGATTCAAACTCAGGACATTGGTGTCCTGGACCAACCACTACGCCACCTGACTGTTCCCATAATATACTACAACATCATCCACAATGCTGACACAGCAAACAGGAGCAATAAACTCCATCATCATCATGGTTGGCCAAAGGTCAGGGAGATATCTCATGTAAACAGGAGTCATTAAAAACCTTGTTAGATAACGGTAATTGTCTAGGAGGTAAAAAAGTAAATAAAGTTCAAAAGATATTATTTCCTTTCAAAATGGATCCAAATGACCAAAGTCTGTCCACAACCCAAATGAAACATGCAATCTAGGTCAAGGATGATTCTCTCTACATATTTAAGCAGTCAAAATGCATCATTACATTGTATACATGGAAGCCAAGTTCTGTCTATAATAACTCACGATGCAATAAGTTTAGCTTTGAATGTTGATTTGGCTAATTTGTAAATATCTCATTGATACATTCTCCTTAAAAGAGGAAAGTTATGCACTGAATCAAAACAAAATAACAAAACAAACATGTTAGAAGGGTTCAAATGCTAATTAGTATCACTAACTAGCTAATAAAAGTGAAAGAAGAAAGAATTGGAAGAACTAAAATACAATGTCAATCACATGCAAAGTGAATTCTTTGAAATCAATATCAATTTGTGGATCAAATTTGTTTTGCTTCTTTACCAAAATAGTTTTCGTTTGTGTCCGACAAAATAAAATAAATCTTCTTTGCCGAAATCATGAAATTTAGACAGAAATAGAACTGTGTATACTCAAATTTAGAAAGTTAAATTTGCCACTGTACCATAAGAATACAAGTTTCCTTTAGGGATGCTTGTTGAAGTCGGTACAGAAGATCAGTATATAACACTGAGTCGGCCAAAATGAGAAGGTCAAGGTTATTTAGACATCAATGCCAGACATTCAGGACGTGTTTGCATGCGCTTGCTGTAGGAGAAGCAGCTACAGATCAACAAAGGCAACGAAAGAGAGCTACTAACGCCATGCAACAACATACCTCCCATACCCCAGCATCGTCACACTGTAACATGCCGTTGAACCGTTTCACCCTTTCATATCAGAGACCCCAAAACCCATTCCAGTTGAATTCAAGTCTTAGACTGTTAGTCCAACAACTATCTTATGATTTTTTTTATAGTTTTTTAAATTTTTCTGAATTTGTCTACTTGGATGCTACTAGTTCATTAACTTCAACATAGATATTCATCTACAACCATACATCTTCAACAATTTGAAAACTTTTCTTCCGATAAATAATAGAAACATACCCTATTAAACAAGGCAAGGTGAGATGGATCACTGTTAAAATGCAAATTTCAGATATTTTCTGTTTGTTTTCAACTGGAGCCTTATAGATGAGACAAGATGGTAATACGTCATGGTGCCGATTCTGTCAGTAGACGGGTAATACGTCATGGTGCCGATTCTGTCAGTAGACGGGTAATACGTCATGGTGATGATTCTGTCAGTAGACGGGTAATACGTCATGGTGCCGATTCAGTCAGTAGACGGGTAATAAGTCATGGTGCTGATTCTGTCAGTAGACGAGTAATACGCCATGGTGACGATTCTGTCAGTAGACGGGTAATACGTCATGGTGACGATTCTGTCAGTAGACGGGTAATACGTCATGGTGCCGATTCTGTCAGTAGACGGGTAATACGTCATGGTGCCGATTCAGTCAGTAGACGGGTAATACGTCATGGTGCCGATTCTGTCAGTAGACGGGTAATATGTCATGGTGCCGATTCTGTCAGTAGACGGGTTATACGTCATTCTGCCGATTCTGTCAGTAGACGGGTAATACGTCATGGTGCCGATTCTGTCAGTAGACGGGTAATAAGTCATGGTGCCGATTCAGTCAGTAGACAGGTAATAAGTCATGGTGCCGATTCTGTCAGTAGACGGGTAATATGTCATGGTGCCGATTCTGTCAGTAGACGGGTAATACGTCATGGTGCCGATTCTGTCAGTAGACGGGTAATAAGTCATGGTGCCGATTCTGTCAGTAGACGGGTTATACGTCATTCTGCCGATTCTGTCAGTAGACGGGTAATATGTCATGGTGACGATTCTGTCAGTAGACGGGTAATACGTAATGGTGCCGATTCTGTCAGTAGACGGGTTATACGTCATTCTGCCGATTCTGTCAGTCGAAGGGTAATATGTCATGGTGACGATTCTGTCAGTAGACGGGTAATACGTAATGGTGCCGATTCTGTCAGTAGACGGGTTATACGCCATTCTGCCGATTCTGTCAGTCGAAGGGTAATATGTCATGGTGACGATTCTGTCAGTAGAGGGGTAATACGTCATGGTGACTATTCTGTCAGTAGATGGGTAATACGCCATGGTGACGATTCTGTCAGTAGACGGGTAATACGTCATGGTGACGATTCTGTCAGTAGACGGGTAATACGTCATGGTGACGATTCTGTCAGTAGATGGGTAATACGTCATGGTGATGATTCTGTCAGTAGACGGGTAATACGTCATGGTGCCGATACTGTCTTAGACGGGTAATATGCGTGGTGACTATTCTGTCAGTAGACGGTAATACGTCATGGTGACTATTCTGTCAGTAGATGGATAATACGTCATGGTGACTATTCTGTCAGTAGACAGGTTCCGGACAAGTTTGAAAGAAATGAAGATTTTACAAATTGTTCTGAATGTAAGAATATTTCTTGAGAAGAGATGTTTTATGTGAAGTCAATGAACTAGCGGTGGTTAATACATAAAACTATTAGAAGATGAACAATCAGTCTATGGAATATTATGGGATATGCAGCAGTCGTCATTCACCACCTCAATGTCCCTGACCACCCAGCATGCTGGTCTGTTTCACACACTGCAGATTGTCAATATCACACCCCCAGATAAAGTTACGGAATATTAACACACACGTGAAATAAAAACATCAATACACAGAACAAACTTAAATAGAGCGAAGTGACAACAGAACCGATCTCTAATATTAACTTCAACTTTGGAAGAGAATTGTTTTCCAACTTTTAACTGAATTATAGACAGAAGTCTCGGACTCAGCATTGTTGTTTATCAGGAAGTGATCTGGAAACAAGTGATTTTTCTCTATCTGCTTGAAATGTGCGTTACTTGGCAGTGAGCCAGAAGCAGGTCATGGATGATGTGAACATGATTGAAATGTGCACCACTTCAAACGTGTCAGTCACATTGTTTGATCACATACAGTCAAACGGATTGGAATCTTCTGAGTTTTTCTACAGATATACATTCAGTTTAGAAAAAAGTGATTTAAATTTCAGAAATTGATTTTGCCTCAACTGACAAATTTGAATTACATGAGACAGAATTCACTCAAATCAAGGCTTGTTAGGAAAAAATATCAAGAGTTACCTCCCTTATATCAAAGGCAAACTTTCACAATTAATTTAATAAACTTTTGGGATGATGAATATTGGACAGAGCAATCATCTTGGTAAAAAAAATCCCAAGCCATCATTTTGAGAAAGCAAATAAATTTTAACAATTTATGACCCAAAAGTTACAATGGAGACTTTTTTTAATCAATTTCATGTCTGCATGAATAAGACATAAGCCTATTATTTGAGTGTGAATTCTGATCCATATGAGGTAACAATCATTGGACTGCAATTCACAAACACTGATTCATCGAGAGGCACATGACCGCATCGCATCATCAAGGTCATCAGTACCACTAAGTAGCGACATTCCTCCCTAGGCTAAGATACGACATTCCTCCCTAGGCTAAGATATGAAAATAACTGCTTCACAGCAATGGATTCTCCAGAAAGTTTACCTTATGGCAGGAAGACAAGGACAGTGCCACGCCTGGGGGGAAGCTGATGGGTGAGTGGGTGAGTGAGTGAGTGAGTGAGTGAGTGAGTGAGTGAAAGTTTACCTTATGGCAGGAAGACAAGGACAGGGCCACGCCTGGGGGGAAGCTGATGGGTGAGTGAGTGAGTGAAAGTTTACCTTATGGCAGGAAGACAAGGACAGGGCCACGACTGGGGGGAAGCTGATGGGGGAGTGATTGAGTGAGTTTGTTTTTAACGCCGCACTCTGCAATATTCCAGCAATATGATGGAGGTCTGTAAATAATCAAGTTTGGACCAGACAATCCAGTGATTGACATCATGGGCATCTATCCACGCCATTCGGATCAATGACATGCATCAACCAAGTCAGCGAGTCTGACCACCCGATCCCGTTAGTTGCCTCTTACAACAAGCTTACTCTGGGTTGATGAAGACCCATTATACCCTGGATCTTCGGGGTCGGGATGCTGATGAGGGTTTGGGGGCAAGGACTGGATGGATGCTGATGGGGCTTAATGGGTTGGGAGGGGCATGCTGATGAGAGTTTGGTGTTTGGGGTATTGTGTGGAACCATCACAATACCCCATGGATTGGCCACTGGCTGGTATGCACTAGGAATTCCTTATAACAAAGACTCATTTTGGGGGTCTTTTGATCCCTTTTGATTAAAATATTCCCCAACACAGTATTGTTCAGGTAGAATGACCTACGACCTACGTGGAATGTTCTTGATGACTCTGATCACATGATGTGTCACATGACTTCCATTGAAGTGTTTGCAAATAATCAGCAGTCCAGCTTACCCAAATCTAAATCTTCTTTGGCCGGTCGACTGCTGAAGGGAGCATTTTTATACATAGCATCAAGTATCTTCTCTTTAATCTGTGAGATTGTGTCACAGTCGAGGACTTTGACTGTGTGCGTCTGTTTCTGCTCAGCATAGCTGTCCATATCCAGAACATTCAGCGTCTACAACAAGGGGAGATAACTCAGAGATGCCACTCAGGTCCATTCAGCTTACTCTGCATCCTACATAGTGTTATTGTTGGAATCTTACCAGAAACACTTGCAGGGCAAGTTATAGTAAGAAAGTAGAAACACTTTCACTGTGGTATTGAAACAGGAGGAGTGAATGAATGCTGTTTTATGGCACAGTCAGCACTATTCCAGCCATATCATCGCAACCTGTATATAACGGACTCTGGACAAAACAAGCCAGTGGTCGATGGCATGAGCATCTTGGCACAGCCTGACCAGCAAGCTCTTGATTTCATCTGCTCTAGTGACATGCATGGAGATTGTGCCACAATATCAGCAGTATCTCACGACTTCCCAAGTACTTACCATAATCTTATAGTTAATCTGCTGCCTGATGAGTTTATCCTCAGACAGAGAGTACCTGGCTTCGCTGGTCACCGAGTCAACTGGACCCTTGGACACCTGTTGCTTGATGGCCTGGTACAACATGAACAGAGGCTCCCCCGCACACTCCTGGGGAGAAATAGAGGCCTTGTTTAACATACATTCATAGAGAGAAGGGGGGTCACGGCCTGGTACAACATGAACAGAGGCTCCCCCGCACACTCCTGGGGAGAAATAGAGGCCTTGTTTAACATACATTCATAGAGAGAAGGGGGGTCACGGCCTGGTACAACATGAACAGAGGCTGCCCCGCACACTCCTGGGGAGAAATAGAGGCCTTGTTTAACATACATTCATAGAGAGAAGGGGGGTCACGGCCTGGTACAACATGAACAGAGGCTCCCCCGCACACTCCTGGGGAGAAATAGAGGCCTTGTTTAACATACATTCATAGAGAGAAGGGGGGTCACGGCCTGGTACAACATGAACAGAGGCTCCCCCGCACACTCCTGAGGAGAAATAGAGGCCTTGTTTAACATACATTCATAGAGAGAAGGGGGGTCACGGCCTGGTACAACATGAACAGAGGCTCCCCCGCACACTCCTGGGGAGAAATAGAGGCCTTGTTTAACATACATTCATAGAGAGAAGGGGGGTCACGGCCTGGTACAACATGGACAGAGGCTCCCCCGCACACTCCTGGGGAGAAATAGAGGCCTTGTTTAACATACATTCATAGAGAGAAGGGGGGTTACGGCCTGGTACAACATGAACAGAGGCTCCCCCGCACACTCCTGGGGAGAAATAGAGGCCTTGTTTAACATACATTCATAGAGAGAAGGGGGGTCACGGCCTGGTACAACATGAACAGAGGCTCCCCCGCACACTCCTGGGGAGAAATAGAGGCCTTGTTTAACATACATTCATAGAGAGAAGGGGGGTCACGGCCTGGTACAACATGAACAGAGGCTCCCCCGCACACTCCTGGGGAGAAATAGAGGCCTTGTTTAACATACATTCATAGAGAGAAGGGGGGTCACAGCCTGGTACAACATGGACAGAGGCTCCCCCGCACACTCCTGGGGAGAAATAGAGGCCTTGTTTAACATACATTCATAGAGAGAAGGGGGGTTACGGCCTGGTACAACATGAACAGAGGCTCCCCCGCACACTCCTGGGGAGAAATAGAGGCCTTGTTTAACATACATTCATAGAGAGAAGGGGGGTCACGGCCTGGTACAACATGAACAGAGGCTCCCCCGCACACTCCTGGGGAGAAATAGAGGCCTTGTTTAACATACATTCATAGAGAGAAGGGGGGTCACGGCCTGGTACAACATGAACAGAGGCTCCCCCGCACACTCCTGGGGAGAAATAGAGGCCTTGTTTAACATACATTCATAGAGAGAAGGGGGGTCACGGCCTGGTACAACATGGACAGAGGCTCCCCCGCACACTCCTGGGGAGAAATAGAGGCCTTGTTTAACATACATTCATAGAGAGAAGGGGGGTCACGGCCTGGTACAACATGAACATCATCCCCCATCCCCTACTGACATGACATTGGTTTCTTGGTCTGGTTTCAACAGTTAGTACTATTCCAGCTATATGACAACTGTCTGTGAATAAGCGAGTCTAGACCAGACAATCCAGTGACTGACATCATGAGCCTGATCCCGTTAGTTGCCTCTGACAGCAAGCATGGGTTGCTGAACACCTGTTTTACCCCAGATCTTCACGGGGGGATAAACCATTGGTGAAAATGATGAGTGTTTTGACATATAATCGGTTTGATGCTGTCTTGCAGTCCACATATCAAACAACACTGGTCCTCATGACGGACAAAACAGATCTGTCTTTGCTCACCTTCAGGAATTTGTACAACAGGAACGAGAACCAGTTGGTCAGCATCTTCTCAGCGACTGATTCATTCCTGAAAACAGAACAGATTTGTAATGAACTTCGTATATAGTGGACCTACCATTTTAATGACTGGCTAAGATATGAAAGTGAGTGAGTCAGACGCTATCAGCAACAGTCTGGAGCCCAAATACAGGGCTTCATTGTACACATGTTGGGTGGAATGAGTTAGTGAGTGAGTCTGACGCCATCAGCAACAGCCAGGAGCCCAAATACAGGGCTTCATTGTACACATGTTGGGTGGGATGAGTGAGTGAGTGAGTCTGACGCCATCAGCAACAGCCAGGAGCCAAAATACAGGGCTTCATTGTACACATGTTGGGTGGGATGAGTGAGTGAGTGAGTCTGACGCTATCAGCATCAGCCAGGAGCCAAAATACAGGGCTTCATTGTACACATGTTGGGTGGGATGAGTGAGTGAGTGAGTCGGACGCGATCAGCAACAGCCAGGAGCCCAAATACAGGGCTTCATTGTACACATGTTGGGTGGGATGAGTGAGTGAGTGAGTCTGACGCTATCAGCAACAGCCAGGAGCCAAAAATAAAGGGCTTCATTGTACACATGTTGGGTGGGATGAGTGAGTGAGTGAGTCTGACGCCATCAGCATCAGCCAGGAGCCCAAATACAGGGCTTCATTGTACACATGTTGGGTGGGATGAGTGAGTGAGTGAGTCTGACGCTATCAGCATCAGCCAGGAGCCAAAATACAGGGCTTCATTGTACACGTTGGGTGGAATGAGTGAGTGAGTGAGTCTGACGCTATCAGCAACAGCCAGGAGCCAAAATACAGGGCTTCATTGTACACATGTTGGATGGAATGAGTGAGTGAGTGAGTCGGACGCCATCAGCATCAGCCAGGAGCCCAAATACAGGGCTTCATTGTACACATGTTGGATGGAATGAGTGAGTGAGTGAGTCTGACGCCATCAGCAACAGCCAGGAGCCAAAATACAGGGCTTCATTGTACACATGTTGGGTGGGATGAGTGAGTGAGTCTGACGCCATCAGCATCAGCCAGGAGCCCAAATACAGGGCTTCATTGTACACATGTTGGGTGGGATGAGTGAGTGAGTGAGTCTGACGCTATCAGCATCAGCCAGGAGCCAAAATACAGGGCTTCATTGTACACGTTGGGTGGAATGAGTGAGTGAGTGAGTCTGACGCTATCAGCAACAGCCAGGAGCCAAAATACAGGGCTTCATTGTACACATGTTGGATGGAATGAGTGAGTGAGTGAGTCGGACGCCATCAGCATCAGCCAGGAGCCCAAATACAGGGCTTCATTGTACACATGTTGGATGGAATGAGTGAGTGAGTGAGTCTGACGCCATCAGCAACAGCCAGGAGCCAAAATACAGGGCTTCATTGTACACATGTTGGGTGGGATGAGTGAGTGAGTGAGTCTGACGCTATCAGCAACAGCCAGGAGCCCAAATACAGGGCTTCATTGTACACATGTTGGGTGGGATGAGTGAGTGAGTGAGTCCGACGCCATCAGCATCAGCCAGGAGCCCAAATACAGGGCTTCATTGTACACATGTTGGGTGGGATGAGTGAGTGAGTGAGTCTGACGCCATCAGCAACAGCCAGGAGCCCAAATACAGGGCTTCATTGTACACATGTTGGGTGGGATGAGGTGACACAGGGTTTAATGTCGCATTGACGATTATTGCAGTTATAGAGCAACATGTGTGTGTGTGTGTGTGTGTGTGTGTGTGTGTGTGTGTGTGTGTGTGTGTGAGCATGCATGTGCTTGTGTTAGTCAAGAATAAGGCCAGTTTTATAGTGCCAGCCCACTGAGACACCATGCTGTAGAATAACATTGATACCCGACTCATGACTCCGAGCCGATCAATCCTTGTTTTATCTCCTTAATGCCAAATGACAGACAGAGAAACAAGAAGTACCATCTTTTTAAAGTCTTTTGGTATGACATGGCGGGGTATCGAATCCCGTGTTAGAACAGAAACCCACATTTACCATATTTGACCTTCTAATGATATCAGCAAATTTTACACAGATGAGGAATGCCTTTTGGTATGACATGACCGGGATCGAACCCTGTGCTGGGAGTGAGTGACTATGGTTTTTCTGTGCTTTAAGCAATATTCCAGCAATATCACGACAGGGGGACACCAGAAATGGGATTCACACATTGTACCCATTTCGGGAATCGAACTCGGGTCTTCGGCGTGACGAGCGAACTCTTAGACCACTAGGCTACCTGACCACGCCTCAGTGTTGGGACTGAAACGTGCATCACCATTGCGTAACGGTTCAAACAACAGAGATGAGGATACAAGTGAGTGACCTGTACACTAAGTACAGACAGACATATTCTAACTACATCAGCAGAGCCTGGAAATGATCAAGACTTTGTCAAACAAATCAGTGGTTGACAGCATGAGCAATGAGGTATCGGGGTCCATGGCATACAATCAGCCAGGTCACATGTCACGCCCACCAGATCCTCAGTAATCAACTCTGACAACATTCACGGGAGACAGGGTTGGTTGGGTGGTTGGTTGTTTAACGCCGAACTTAGCAATATTACAGCTATATGATGGCGATCTGTAAGTAATCAAGTCTGGACCAGACAATCCAGTGATAAATATTATGAGCATTGATCCACCGATCCTGTTAGTCGCCTTTTACAACAAGCATAGTCACCTGTTACGGCAAGCATGGGTTGCTGAAGACCTATTCTAACCTGGAATCTTCACGGGTCTGGGAGACAGGGGATCTATACTTTTGTGATTCATTCATATCAGGATGGCTGCAAGACTGAACTGCTCTTTGGGCAGACCTACCTTCTCAGTAACAGCTTGGGGTGATTTTTACCCTCTACCGACTTTTCTATGAGATCTGCCAGCAAAGTTTTCAGGATACTGAAATAAACAACAGAGTTTCAAATATATTTTAGAAAACAACACTGTCTGGCAGTGAGTGAATGTTGTTTAGTGTCGCAAGTCAGCAATATTTCAGCTGTTCCACAGCAGCCGGGAAACAAACCAGCCTTGGCCAGGCAAACCAGTGGTTGACAGCATGAGCACTGCTTCTTGCAACTGGAGTTCAGTGACATGCAATCAGCCAGGGCTCAATCTCAACCCTCCTAGCAGTCAGCTGCTCACCAAGTCTCATGGAGGCCTCCCCAAATACCTTGGAGGAGAAACTATACAAGACACTCATGTATTATTAACAGTTACACTTGCTACTTCAGATTTATTGCATTTGCAGCAATAAATGACCTAACTGATAAACTTACAACAGTATAATAAAGTTGCCAATTGGGTCCAACATATAACAAACACAACTTAACAATCAGTACAAGAATGAAAACTTTTTAAAATCTGACGGAGTTTGAGGTGAGCTAACACAATTCTGTCATTTGTATCATGATTTTGACATCGAAGCCAAAGCAAAAAGAAAAGATTCAAAACACTAAAAGGAGCTTGCAGATCGGCCATGAATTAAATGGGAATATATGATGGCGATGCCCTGTTTGATTGGTCATTTACAGGAACATGAATATTTCATGGAGAGTGAAAGAAAACAGTTTTACTGCCTTGAGCATCCTTGGGAAAATTCCTGCTCATCTCCATTCTCAGCCTGACATTTTCTATCCTGAGATCAATGGAAGAATATTGCCTGATCAAATGTTCTCAATCTCAGTTGTCATATTTCCAAGCAAATTCTTTAACAGAATAGTACAAGCTCTCCATTTCCGTAGCCTCTGAAACTTAAGTCAATACTAAAAAGTTACAAGGGTTGCAATTTCACTGACAGGAAGCGAAGAGATATTGATTCGGGCAACAGCTGGTAGAAGCTCCATGCACAGCTACAAACTCTGTGCACTGCCACAACAAACTTCACATTAGAGTGGTTTGAATCTCAAAGCATTACAGTCTTATTCTGCATATGGTATTCCAAAACTGCTGGGTCAGCAAACGACCACTCATGTGTCATGTCCGAGAAGTCAGAACTTATTATGACCATAAGGACAGAGGACTGACTACATGCTTGGCCTAGAGCTCGCTTGGACCTCCAGTCCTGGTGAGCTAAAACTTAGCCTCCAATAAAAACCTGGAATGTCTGGAGTGACTACATGCAGCATATTCCTTTATGTGATCGACTGAATGACAATCACTATAACGCCTAACTCCTCACACAGGCACTCTGAGAGCTCTCAACACCACCAACATAATGTATCCCATTTTTCCTATTAACTATCCCATTCTCATATTCAAGGACAGCTCCACACACCCACAATCTTTAAACTCCTCACAGAGTTACTCACTCAGTAGCATATTCCATTTTGGTTTGAAGAGCAACGGTGATGAGAGACGCTACATTCACACGATCTCGGAGCTGGAATGTTTTACTGGATTCAAGAGTGCGTATAAAAATAAGGAGAAACGTCTTGTTGCTCATGAGTTGGAAGAAAAGAGCCAATCCTCGTTCTACATCTTCCTGGTTTCTTCGATAGCCAACCTGAAAAATGGAATTGTCATCACTTTAATCTCATCATCTTGTAACAAGTTATCAAATCTTTAAATGCATCTTTTTTCTCGTATCATGACAGCTAAAATAAAAGCCTTTCAAAAATAATTCAGTGTCATTAAGCTTGTTTACCAAAGAGAAATCCATTTACACTCTGTTAAAAGAAAATCAAAACTTAATGAACCCCAACTAAATCTAATTTCTAAAAAGTTAGATAATGTTTCCTTTTTCTCTAAAGCCTTAATTAATATGCGCTATCATGCTCTAAAGATCTTCATTAGAATAAGCTAAAGAAACACACAAATTTGAATCCCTTCAGCTGCTCTTTGATGTGAATGTGACAAGCTAGCAGAACTAATTAGCATAATGGCAGCGAGGAGGGATTTGTGAGTTCTCATGTGAAAACATCACTTTGCCAAATTGACCTGCCAGACCCTTGTCCTTCATTCTATTGTCATTTGCATAAATGTATTCCGGGAAGTTGCATACTTTTTACAACAACCTTTTACACCCATTAAATTTTAAACACTTAAATATTGGAAGAATTCTGAAGATGATTCTAAGGCTCAAAATGAAACTTTTTAACATCATAACGGCATACAGAACAGTCATCCAATCAACCTACTGCTCATTTTGAACTCTCCCATAAGAATAGATGGAAGGTTCCATTTTGGGTTTAAGGGGGTCTCACCTGGAGCTCCTTGATGACCGAGTGGTTTTCTACCCCAGGGAACAAGACCTTCATACAATAGGTTCTGTAGTCCCAGAACGGAATTGACACTTGGCCGTACAAGTCACTTGTCAGCTCTGTCATGTCGGTTTGAAGTTCCGCAAAGGCTGAAATAAGATTAATTGCTTATAATTTGTATGACGATTGATTTTGACCTGTGTCACAAAGTTTTGATGAATGAAAAGTTACCCTTTGATTTTACAGTATTGCCCGATTTTCAGGGAGCATTGGGCAGAGTGATGGAGGCTGCATATGTTTGCGTACTTTGCCACTTTGGCTCACACCATGGATATTGACAGGACAAATGTGGGATTGGAAAGACAGTACATTAAAGCAGTACTTCCTGGCCGGTGTTTTGACTGACCTTCCTTGCACTCGTTGGCCACTCGAGCCTCCAGCGAGTCCATCTGGATCCTCATCCTCTTCATCATATCGTTGCTACGACGAGACTTCACTTGGTAGGCGATAATGACGATAATGACTAGGAGCACCAGTACGCCTGCACCGACTGCAATACCGATAATTGTTGGCAGCGTCAACATTTCTGCTTCCTCGTACTTGAGACGACCGATGCTGAATGTCAGGTTCTGGCCAACAATCACCTGGAGAAGAAAAACAGGGTTTATGAAGTGGGCTCTGACATCATGTTCAGTTATTGCATATATTATCATTATTAAGGAAGAGAATATATGGATGTCAACTACTTCATTACGAGGAACACAACCTCATCACCTGATGAAGGAGTAAGCATATACTCCAAAATGTTCTGTTCCTCATAATAAAGAAGTTGACATCCATAAATTCTCTTCCTTATGTGTATCACTTCTAAATGCCTTTCAAAGACTTGATTTTCGTAATTATTATCATTTTTATTTTCTATCCTTCAATATATCACTCGAGATCAATGAAGGAGAGCTATGATCCCTGCAGTAGCCTTCGTTACCCATCATTGTCTCACCCTCTAAAGCTGAAGCTCTATGAGTCAAATACCCCGCTAGTTGTGATGATTCAAGCAAGGACTTCGAATACAGGAAGCAGTGTAACCTTCCTATCCTTCACATTCTAACCTTCCTCCATCTTCAATGTCACGTTTGACATCCCCACCCTTTCCTTTACAGAGAACTCATAGCCAAATCCTACCACAACTTCTGGAATGTCGTTTCCCTTCTTGGACTGTGGCTGACTTTTGGGTGGTCGGCACGTCAGTTGTGTGGCAGCAATGGAGGTGACGTTGCAGAGGCCGGTGCCAATATGGACGGTGACGTCCTCCTTGGGAATGGCCGGGTTCAGGTTACTTCCCTGGTGAAAAGAAACACTTGTCATCAAGCCAGTTACTGACCAGCAATGAGTGGGCCAACATGCCCCTTGTCATCAAGCCAGTTACTGACCAGCAATGAGTGGGCCAACATGCCCCTTGTCATCAAGCCAGTTACTGACCAGCAATGAGTGGGCCAACATGCCCCTTGTCATCAAGCCAGTTACTGACCAGCAATGAGTGGGCCAACATGCCCCTTGTCATCAAGCCAGTTACTGACCAGCAATGAGTGGGCCAACATGCCCCTTGTCATCAAGTCAGTTACTGACCAGCAATGAGTGGGCCAACATGCCCCTTGTCATCAAGCCAGTTACTGACCAGCAGTGCATGGGCCAACATGCCCCTTGTCATCAAGCCAGTTACTGACCAGCAATGAGTGGGCCAACATGACCCTTGTCATCAAGCCAGTTACTGACCAGCAATGAGTGGGCCAACATGACCCTTGTCATCAAGCCAGTTACTGACCAGCAATGGGTGGGCCAACATGACCCTTGTCATCAAGTCAGTTACTGACCAGCAATGAGTGGGCCAACATGACCCTTGTCATCAAGTCAGTTACTGACCAGCAGTGCATGGGCCAACATGCCCCTTGTCATCAAGTCAGTTACTGACCAGCAATGAGTGGGCCAACATGCCCCTTGTCATCAAGCCAGTTACTGACCAGCAATGAGTGGGCCAACATGCCCCTTGTCATCAAGTCAGTTACTGACCAGCAATGAGTGGGCCAACATGCCCCTTGTCATCAAGCCAGTTACTGACCAGCAATGAGTGGGCCAACATGCCCCTTGTCATCAAGCCAGTTACTGACCAGCAATGCATGGGCCAACATGCCCCTTGTCATCAAGTCAGTTACTGACCAGCAATGAGTGGGCCAACATGCCCCTTGTCATCAAGCCAGTTACTGACCAGCAATGAGTGGGCCAACATGCCCCTTGTCATCAAGTCAGTTACTGACCAGCAATGAGTGGGCCAACATGCCCCTTGTCATCAAGTCAGTTACTGACCAGCAGTGCATGGGCCAACATGCCCCTTGTCATCAAGTCAGTTACTGACCAGCAATGAGTGGGCCAACATGCCCCTTGTCATCAAGTCAGTTACTGACCAGCAATGAGTGGGCCAACATGCCCCTTGTCATCAAGCCAGTTACTGACCAGCAGTGCATGGGCCAACATGCCCCTTGTCATCAAGCCAGTTACTGACCAGCAATGAGTGGGCCAACATGACCCTTGTCATCAAGCCAGTTACTGACCAGCAATGAGTGGGCCAACATGACCCTTGTCATCAAGCCAGTTACTGACCAGCAATGGGTGGGCCAACATGACCCTTGTCATCAAGTCAGTTACTGACCAGCAATGAGTGGGCCAACATGCCCCTTGTCATCAAGCCAGTTACTGACCAGCAATGAGTGGGCCAACATGACCCTTGTCATCAAGCCAGTTACTGACCAGCAGTGCATGGGCCAACATGCCCCTTGTCATCAAGCCAGTTACTGACCAGCAATGAGTGGGCCAACATGCCCCTTGTCATCAAGCCAGTTACTGACCAGCAATGAGTGGGCCAACATGCCCCTTGTCATCAAGTCAGTTACTGACCAGCAATGAGTGGGCCAACATGCCCCTTGTCATCAAGCCAGTTACTGACCAGCAATGGGTGGGCCAACATGCCCCTTGTCATCAAGTCAGTTACTGACCAGCAATGGGTGGGCCAACATGCCCCTTGTCATCAAGTCAGTTACTGACCAGCAATGAGTGGGCCAACATGCCCCTTGTCATCAAGCCAGTTACTGACCAGCAATGGGTGGGCCAACATGCCCCTTGTCATCAAGTCAGTTACTGACCAGCAATGAGTGGGCCAACATGCCCCTTGTCATCAAGTCAGTTACTGACCAGCAATGGGTGGGCCAACATGCCCCTTGTCATCAAGCCAGTTACTGACCAGCAATGAGTGGGCCAACATGCCCCTTGTCATCAAGCCAGTTACTGACCAGCAATGGGTGGGCCAACATGCCCCTTGTCATCAAGCCAGTTACTGACCAGCAATGAGTGGGCCAACATGCCCCTTGTCATCAAGTCAGTTACTGACCAGCAATGCATGGGCCAACATGCCCCTTGTCATCAAGCCAGTTACTGACCAGCAATGGGTGGGCCAACATGCCCCTTGTCATCAAGTCAGTTACTGACCAGCAATGAGTGGGCCAACATGCTCCTTGTCATCAAGTCAGTTACTAACCAGCAATGAGGGTGACACCCAATGTTCAACACTTACCCCTATTGTAAGGAACTCCGTCTTCTTCTGGTGCGACTTCATTCCATTCTTGAACTTCTCAAACACAGGGTCTGGGTAGAGCGTGAACACTCCAAAGGCCTCCAAGCTGCGGCCTGTCAGGTTCATGATGTTCTCAACGCCATCCATCTTGAATCCATACGACACATCGACATGATCAACATCGTCACTCAATGTCGGAACCAAGGACTCCACCATTGGAGAGTAGCAGACTAGTATTATGTCCGACTTTCTCTCACACATCTGAAGCACAAAGTAATTGTATGGCATACGCTGAAGTGTCTAGTTTGTATGAAACAATGCATTATGGGTAGTGGATGTCATGTATAAAACAGTGAATTATGGGCAGTGGATATCTTGCCATGTCAGCGAATCTGATCACGCGGTCTATTAAGTTGCCTCTGTCCACCCGATCTGTTAAGTCGCCTCTGACCGACTAATCTATTAAGTAACATCTGACCACCCGATCTATTTAGTGCGTCTGTCCACCCAAACTATTAAGTCGCCTCTGACCGACTAATCTATAAAGTAACATCTGACCACCCGATGTATTTAGTTGCCTCTGATCACCCAAACTATTAAGTCGCCTCTGACCGACTAATCTATAAAGCAACATCTGACCATCCGATGCATTTAGTTGCCTCTGACCACCCAAACTATTAAGTCGCCTCTGACCGACTAATCTATAAAGCAACATCTGACCACCTGATGTATTTAGTTGCCTCTGATCACCCAAACTATTAAGTCGCCTCTGACCGACTAATCTATAAAGCAACATCTGACCACCCGATGTATTTAGTTGCCTCTGATCACCCAAACTATTAAGTCGCCTCTGACCGACTAATCTATAAAGTAACATCTGACCACCCGATGTATTTAGTTGCCTCTGACCATCCGATGTATTTAGTTGCCTCTGATCACCCAACTATTAAGTCGCCTCTGACCGACCAATCTATTAATACGCATCTGACCACCTGATCTAATTTAGTCGCCTCTGACCACCCGATGTATTTGGTTGCCTCTGACCACCCAACTATTAAGTCGCCTCTGACTGACCAATCTATTAAAAGGCATCTGACCACACTTAAGTGAGTGAGTGTCAGCTCAAAGTGGTTCAGGTCACAAGGCTACAATCAAAGGTAGGAGGCTGACATACCAACCCATGCTGTAGTGTGTGCACAAACATCAACAAATGATGAAAGAAGAAAGGAAGAAGACTTACAGCAACCTACTTTTTATCATATAATGGGTAAGTTTCTCGGCAGGATAAAGCCAAAGGATAAAAACGATATCTGTTGGGGTCATATGCGGATAGAGATGCAAATATCAAAGGTCAAGTAGGACTACTTTCACTGTTTATAAACAAACATGGCGTCGCCCTCATCATTCGGCGATCGAGTCAGAATTAACCATCGGGAATCTGGATAAACTACAGGGATAATTGCTATCATTATCAAAAGAACAGTCTAATATACTGAAAATCAGTCTCTAACTGTGACGTAGCTAAGGCATTTTATGAGTTTGGGCAACTTTAGAGATATAAATTTCGAAACAATTTTGCGAGGGCACGAGGCCTAGCCAAGCGGGATCAGTAGCCATATCTGTGCTTGTAGACCTCTGCGGCTTGAAACCTTCTCCACAAATTAAAATAGTTGGATTTGTCCGAAATGTGTTTGAATTGTTACCTTGTTTCGTTTTGTCGCTGTGTGTACATCTGACTACACTTCTTAACGTTATGACAGGACAGACCGACTGTCAACAACGACTGACCGTGGCCGTGACGTCTCAAAGACTAGGGTTAGAGTAGCTTCCCTTTGACAAAGGGCAGTTAATCTAGCGGACAGACAGATGGATTGCCGCGAAAGGCAATTAAAAACAATTGTTGTTTTGCGTATATGTTGCTTCGCCACTGTATAAGAAACAGATTTCAGTTGGAACTATATTGGCTACTGTCACTGTCCGACTGACACATTACTTACCCTGTGACGTAATAAATATTAATGCGCGCATTCCAGAAAAACTCGCAATGTTTCGGTTATGTATGTGAGAGAGGGAAAGCGATTTTGAAGCACAGAATTAAAGAATGACATTATATGATAAAGAGGTTATCATGCTTGTGTGTTTGGGGATGGTAAATATCCTGCATTAGGAATAAACACTATGTATTTAGCTCGCCAAGGCTCGCGAAATACAATGTTTATTCCTAATGCAGGATGTTTACCATCCCCAAACACACTCGCGTGATAACCTCTATCTCTGTGGAGACCTAACGTTCAGTGACTTCTCCACTACCATTGACAACATGTGAAACATATCCATCCAAGTCTTAGCGTTAATGTACTCACGCTATCAAACACCTCGTTGTTGTGTCCAAGCAGCATCCTTGGGCTCTGCACATTGGTGAAATGTTTTCCTCGAACAGTGATGCGTAAACCACCACTGAAACATAACGTCCAGAAATAGTGAGTAGAAGAAGACTCCCTGTGGCCATCTCACATCAGTTACATTGGACGTGGTTAGCAAAAACCTTCGGTCTTTACTCCTGAGTGTAGTCCCCCCTTAAAACAGTCCTGTCCTTACTCCTGAGAGTAGTCCCCCTTTAAAACAGTCCTGTCCTTACTCCTGACTGTTGTCCCCTTTAAAACAGTCTTATCCTTACTCCTGAGTGTTGTCCCCTTTAAAACGGTCCTGTCCTTACTCCTGAGTGTTGTCCCCTTTAAAACAGTCCTATCCTTACTCCTGAGTGTAGTCCCCCTTTAAAACAGTCCTGTCCTTACTCCTGACTGTTGTCCCCCTTTAAAACAGTCCTGTCCTTACTCCTGAGTGTTGTCCCCTTTAAAACAGTCCTGTCCTTACTCCTGAGTGTAGTCCCCCTTTAAAACAGTCTTATCCTTACTCCTGACTGTTGTCCCCTTTAAAACAGTCCTGTCCTTACTCCTGAGTGTTGTCCCCTTTAAAACAGTCCTATCCTTACTCCTGAGTGTAGTCCCCCTTTAAAACGGTCCTATCCTTACTCCTGAGTGTAGTCCCCCTTTAAAACAGTCCTGTCCTTACTCCTGAGTGTAGTCCCCCTTTAAAACAGTCCTGTCCTTACTCCTGAGTGTAGTCCCCCTTTAAAACAGTCCTGTCCTTACTCCTGAGTGTAGTCCCCCTTTAAAACAGTCCTGTCCTTACTCCTGAGTGTAGTCCCCCCTTAAAACAGTCCTGTCCTTACTCCTGAGTGTAGTCCCCCTTTAAAACAGTCCTGTCCTTACTCCTGAGTGTAGTCCCCCTTTAAAACAGACCTGTCCTTACTCCTGAGTGTTCTCCCCTTTAAAACAGTCCTGTCCTTACTCCTGAGTGTTCTCCCCTTTAAAACAGTCCTGTCCTTACTCCTGAGTGTAGTCCCCCTTTAAAACAGTGCTGTCCTTACTCCTGAGGGTAGTCCCCCTTTAAAACAGTCCTGTCCTTACTCCTGAGTGTAGTCCCCCTTTAAAACAGTCCTGTCCTTACTCCTGAGAGTTCTACCCTAAAATGGACATCAGCAACTCACCTTCGAATGGCTTGTTTGGGGTTGATGGAAGTGACATCGGGATCAGGAACATAGGCATATCGGATCTTATGATCAGCATGGATGACCTGCTTATCGAACTTGACCACGACCCTGTTTGGAGGGTACGTGGGATTTGGGCTTGAGTCTTGCGATTTGGGGGAAGTCTCGCAGACCAAGTAATCAGGGCTTGAGGGCCTGAAACCAACATGGAAGAATATAAGGAGAGTGTGAGCAAGATTAACACCAACCGGAACTCATTAGGAGGAAAGTCAATGTGATGCAAGCAACAGACTTGATCACATTGGGAATATCCCACGAGCACAAGTTTGGTGCTGTATCACCATGATGAAACCCACGAGCACAGGTATGGTATTTTTATCACCTTGGGAAAACCCACGAGCACAGGTATGGTATTTTTATCACCTTGGTAAAACCCACGAGCACAGGTATGGTATTTTTATCACCTTGGTAAAACCCACGAGCACAGGCATGGTATTTTAATCACCTTGGGAAAACCCACGAGCACAGGTATGGTATTTTTATTACCTTGGTAAAACCCACGAGCACAGGTATAGTATTTTCATCACCTTGGGAAAACCCACGAGCACAGGTATAGTATTTTTATCACCTTGGGAAAATTACATATCGTTTTGCTTTTGCTAAAGTCTTCCGTAGGTATACTTACACAGGTATGACATTACATTGATGGGAATTGATGTAGACTGTCTTTTCGGTGCCAGCATCCATGTTTTGTCCTGATATCGTCACCCTGGTTCCACCAGAGCGAGGACCATAGTCAGGGTTGATGTCAGTCACCTTTGGAAGCTGAAAATCAGTTAAAAGTCAATCCCATCAATTTGTCATATCCTAATTCTCTGTAAAAACAATCTTTTACATATTTTGAAATTGATTGAATATCTCTACGATAGAAAGACAAGATATTGATTACATTAAAACTCTGTTAACCCAGACAGATTTTGACAGTTGAATCCTCCCTGATTAACATGTGTCTGGATTAATGAACATCAGTATCAAATATATATAGACAGCTCTAATTGAACAACAAGCTCCTTGCTAACAGGGGCTTCTGTGTCATTTCTCCAAAACAGTACATACCACATATCTGAAGACATTCGCTGATGTTGATTCATACTCATTGGCAATCTTGACCTTGACCCTGTGCTCTTGTTCTCCAGGCACAGGACCTGTCTCACAAATAATCCTGGAAATAAACACACGAATATAAGACACTTACAATTTGACAGAACATGAACACACTTCTATATCGATTAAGAATCACAGCTTAATGGCTACCATTCTGCCCTCGGCCCCCACCCACGCTTGACACAGCCACACACCAGGAGTTAGGATGGAGTACTTACTGTCTGGGTGCCACGTATTCCTTAATGGCTGCCATTCTGCCCTCGGCCCCCACCCACCCTTGACACAGCCACACACCAGGAGTTAGGATGGAGTACTTACTGTCTGGGTGCCACGTATTCCTTAATGGCTGCCATTCTGCCCTCGGCCCCCACCCACCCTAGACACAGCCACACACCAGGAGTTAGGATGGAGTACTTACTGTCTGGGTGCCACGTATTCCTTAATGGCTGCCATTCTGCCCTCGGCCCCCACCCACCCTAGACACAGCCACACACCAGGAGTTAGGATGGAGTACTTACTATCTGGGTGCCACGTATTCCTTAATGGCTGCCATTCTGCCCTCGGCCCCCACCCACGCTTGACACAGCCACACACCAGGAGTTAGGATGGAGTACTTACTGTCTGGGTGCCACGTATTCCTTAATGGCTGCCATTCTGCCCTCGGCCCCCACCCACGCTTGACACAGCCACACACCAGGAGTTAGGATGGAGTACTTACTGTCTGGGTGCCACGTATTCCTTAATGGCTGCCATTCTACCCTCGGCCCCCACCCACCCTAGACACAGACACACACCAGGAGTTAGGATGGAGTACTTACTGTCTGGGTGCCACGTATTCCTTAATGGCACAGTCCACCGATGGCCCGATGGTCACGTGTAAGTCACCTTTCATCTTGCCCAGGTTTTCTCCAACAATGGTCAGGAGGGTCCCGCCATCAAGAGGTCCGGATTGGGGGGAAATCTGCCACAAATATAAACACGAGTTACTTTCAAGTTAACACACCTAAACATTCATTTGGTAGTACTCCCTCGTATCCTTCATCTGAACGGGTGTGCAATAGGGCTGGGACAAGTCCAAATTTACTACTCGGGCCCATCCCCATATTACCTTACCCTACCCGGGTACCCACCCCTGTATTACATGACCCTACCCGGGTACCCATCCCCGTATTACCTGACCCTACCCGGGTACCCACCCCTGTATTACATGACCCTACCCGGGTACCCATCCCCGTATTACCTTACCCTACCCGGCTACCCACCCCTGTATTACATGATCCTACCCGGGTACCCATCCCCGTATTACCTGACCCTACCCGGGTACCCACCCCTGTATTACATGATCCTACCCGGGTACCCATCCCCGTATTACCTGACCCTACCCGGCTACCCACCCCTGTATTACATGATCCTACCCGGGTACCCATCCCCGTATTACCTGACCCTACCCGGCTACCCATCCCTGTATTACCTGACCCTACCCGGCTACCCACCCCTGTATTAAATGACCCTACCCAGCTACCCACCTCTGTATTACATGACCCTACCCGGCTACCCATCCCTGTATTACCTGACCCTACCCGGCTACCCACCCCTGTATTACATGACCCTACCCAGCTACCCACCTCTGTATTACATGACCCTACCCGGGTACCCATCCCCGTATTACCTGACCTTATCGGGGTACCCACCCCCGTATCACCCGACCCTATCGGGGTACACGCTTTAGGTCTCAAGAGATAGGTACATAATGTCTGATTGGGAATAGTTTGACCGTAGCCCTGGACAAAATATATTTAGATACACATATAAAATGTTCTGGTCATGAATATACTGAAGCTGACTGAAGTTTGATCTCTATTCAAACATATAAAAGTCAGGAGGAACGTGTGCATAGTCAGAAAGAAATGCAAACATTAGAGACTTGTAATGTAACCATATAGTTTTAGATAATTTTTGTCATTAAACAATATATCACGTGACTAACTGCCTGTCCGGGTAGTACTTAGGGTACCCGGGTCCTACTCAGGACCCAGTCGACCCCAGCCCTAGTGTGCAACCAGCATGCCAATATTCTTGTCACATCTTATCTCTTATATCAAATGAGGAGATTTCTTGGTGTTACTGGGGTGCTTGGCAAAGTGGACGCCATTCACTTACTGGAGTGAGAAATGAAAGGGAGACCTGGGACCAAGAGGATAAGCAATAGAATTCCAATGGAAAACCTAAATCCTTAACATTAGGATTTTGACAAGCTCACCGTTTCTATTTTGGGGTTGCGACAAGTGGACTGATGCCCCAGCCAGTCATTGTTGTTGCGACACTCCTGCTGGGTAGTACAATGTTCCTTGTCCTGACACCACCCACACTGGTACTTGACATCCTGGGTCAGACACGACCCACACGAGTCCGCCATCACATGACACTTGTACATTGTCACTGAAACAGACAATATAGTTGTACAGTCACATAAAGTGACAAAGACGTCAGACAGGACCCACACGAGTCCGCCATCACATGACACTTGTACATTGTCACTGAAACAGACAATATAGTTGTACAGTCACATAAAGTGACAAACACGTCAGACACGACCCACACGAGTCCGCCATCACATGACACTTGTACATTGTCACTGAAACAGACAACACAGTTGTACAGTCACATAAAGTGACAAAGACGTCAGACACGACCAACACGAGTCCGCCATCACATGACACTTGTACATTGTCACTGAAACAGACAATATAGTTGTACAGTCACATAAAGTGACAAAGACGTCAGACTGGACCCACACGAGTTCGCCATCACATGACACTTGTACATTGTCACTGAAACAGACAACACAGTTGTACAGTCACACACTATGAACACATGTTGTACATTGTCACTGAAACAGACAACACAGTTGTACAGTCACACACTATGAACACATGTTGTACATTGTCACTGAAACAGACAACACAGTTGTACAGTCACACACTATGAACACATGTTGTACATTGTCACTGAAACAGACAACACAGTTGTACAGTCACATAAAGTGACAAACACGTCAGACTGGACCCACACGAGTCCGCCATCACATGACACTTGTACATTGTCACTGAAACAGACAACACAGTTGTACAGTCACACACTATGAACACATGTTGTACATTGTCACTGAAACAGTCAACACAGTTGTACAGTCACACACTATGAACACACGTTGTACATTGTCTCTGAAACAGACAACACAGTTGTACAGTCACACACTATGAACACACGTTGTACATTGTCTCTGAAACAGACAACACAGTTGTACAGTCACACACTATGAACACACGTTGTACATTGTCTCTGAAACAGACAACACAGTTGTACAGTCACAAACTATGAACACACGTTGTACATGGTCTCTGAAACAGACAACACAGTTGTACAGTCACACACTATGAACACACGTTGTACATTGTCTCTGAAACAGACAACACAGTTGTACAGTCACACACTATGAACACACGTTGTACATGGTCTCTTAAACAGACAACACAGTTGTACAGTCACACACTATGAACACACGTTGTACATTGTCTCTGAAACAGACAATACAGTTGTACAGTCACACACTATGAACACACGTTGTACATTGTCACTGAAACAGACAACACAGTTGTACAGTCACACACTATGAACACACGTTGTACATTGTCACTGAAACAGACAACACAGTTGTACAGTCACACACTATGAACACACGTTGTACCCGAGGTGTGTGGTACTGAGAGGACACACACTGGGGTTCCCAGGTTGTACTAATGTTGTACCCCTAGTTGGAATTAAACGTAGTTGTTGTGTGTGACTGACCTGACTACTGTGCTACCCCGACCCCCCTTTAAATATAAGTGATGTACCCTGGATGTTTGACGGGTTGTCCAGGGCCTTGATATTCTCCCACATGATGTTGAATGGCACATTCTGGTAGCTGACGTTTGGGAAGTAGTTGAACTGAAAGAAGGAAAGTCAACGGTCATAATAATAATAACAATACTAGTCCATTTATATGGCGCTGTACACCATGCATAACCATGCTCACAAACTTAGACTTTTATTACCCTGTTCACTGGATCAATGTGCACTCAACAATCATTCTCAGCTCCCTGGGGAGTATACAACCCAAGCTGCCTGTTAGGCGCTAGAAGGTTAACAACCACATTGCCATCTCATCCTACCGGGTACCCATTCACTGCTGGGTGAACAGAGGCACAATTCGAACAAAGTCACTTGCCGAAGGAGACACCACACGTGCTACATGTGCTTCAGTGTGTGGCACTACCAAGTGAGTGAGTATGGTTTTATGCCACTTTTAGCAATATTCCAGCAATATCACGGCGGGGGACACCAGAAATGGGCTTTTAACACATTGTACCCATTTCGGGCATCAAACCCGGGTTTCGGTATGACAAGCGAACACTGTAACCACTAGGCTACCCGACCGCCCCGTGGCACTACCGAAGCCCTATATGTGAAATATAGTTGTACATAGAAACTCCCAGGACTGAAACAGAAACTCCCACACTGCCGAACACGGTCAGCATCCAAGGACTCTCCGCGACCAACGTTGCTTAACTTCACCTGATTTGTGACCTGTGAGCTTTGCACAGGACCACGTGCCACCACATGATGTACAAGACACGTGCCACCACATGATGTACAAGACAAATGGTAAAACAAACACTCTTGTGAAGTCTTAGGACTGAGAACTCAGCACACATAATACTGATGACATTCTCTCTGTCACGCAGCCAAGAATATACCCAGATCTTTGGTTCGGGAATGTTCTTTCTTGCTACAGTTACCGGTTATTTGAATCACACAAATTGATGGAAACCTTACCTCCAGATTCTGACACTTGATGACGAATGAGTTGTCATTATCAGTGGAAGGTAGCACAGTTGCTGGAACAGTTATGCCAGACTTGAAGTTAAAGTTACACTTGAGGCCGATTCCTCCAATCTGGTAAGCCTGTAAACAGAGAGAGGTGTTTTAGTCTGTAGTCAGCAATATGACAGTTATATCATGGCAGTCTGTAGTCAGCAATATGACAGTTATATCATGGCAGTCTGTAGTCAACAATATGACAGTTATATCATGGCAGTCTGTAGTCAGCAATATGACAGTTATATCATGGCAGTCTGTAGTCAACAATATGACAGTTATATCATGGCAGTCTGTAGTCAGCAATATGACAGTTATATCATGGCAGTCTGTAGTCAGCAATATGACAGTTATATCATGGCAGTCTGTAGTCAGCAATATGACAGTTATATCATGGCAGTCTGTAGTCAGCAATATGACAGTTATATCATGGCAGTCTGTAGTCAGCAATATGACAGTTATATCATGGCAGTCTGTAGTCAGCAGTATGACAGTTATATCATGTCAGTCTATAGTCAACAATATGACAGTTATATCATGGCAGTCTGTAGTCAACAATATGTCAGTTATATCATGGCAGTCTGTAGTCAACAATATGACAGTTATATCATGGCAGTCTGTAGTCAACAATATGTCAGTTATATCATGGCAGTCTGTAGTCAGCAATATGTCAGTTATATCATGGCAGTCTGTAGTCAGCAATATGACAGTTATATCATGGCAGTCTGTAGTCAACAATATGACAGTTATATCATGGCAGTCTGTAGTCAGCAATATGACAGTTATATCATGGCAGTCTGTAGTCAACAATATGACAGTTATATCATGGCAGTCTGTAGTCAGCAATATGACAGTTATATCATGGCAGTCTGTAGTCAGCAATATGACAGTTATATCATGGCAGTCTGTAGTCAGCAATATGACAGTTATATCATGGCAGTCTGTAGTCAGCAATATGACAGTTATATCATGGCAGTCTGTAGTCAGCAATATGACAGTTATATCATGGCAGTCTGTAGTCAGCAGTATGACAGTTATATCATGTCAGTCTATAGTCAACAATATGACAGTTATATCATGGCAGTCTGTAGTCAACAATATGTCAGTTATATCATGGCAGTCTGTAGTCAACAATATGACAGTTATATCATGGCAGTCTGTAGTCAACAATATGTCAGTTATATCATGGCAGTCTGTAGTCAGCAATATGTCAGTTATATCATGGCAGTCTGTAGTCAGCAATATGACAGTTATATCATGGCAGTCTGTAGTCAACAATATGACAGTTATATCATGGCAGTCTGTAGTCAGCAATATGTCAGTTATATCATGGCAGTCTGTAGTCAACAATATGTCAGTTATATCATGTGAGTCTGTAGTCAACAATATGACAGTCATATCATGGCAGTCTGTAGTCAACAATATGACAGTTATATCATGGCAGTCTATAGTCAACAATATGACATATATATCATGGCAGTCTGTTGTCAACAATATGTCAGTTATATCATGGCAGTCTGTAGTCAACAATATGACAGTTATATCATGTCAGTCTGTAGTCATCAATATGACAGTTATATCATGGCAGTCTATAGTCAGCAATATGACAGTTATATCATGTCAGTCTGTAGTCAACAATATGTCAGTTATATCATGGCAGTCTGTAGTCAGCAATATGACAGTCATATCATGTCAGTCTGTAGTCAGCAATATGACAGTTATATTATGGCAGTCTGTAGTCAACAATATGACAGTCATATCATGTCAGTCTGTAGTCAGCAATATGACAGTCATATCATGTGAGTCTGTAGTCAACAATATGACAGTCATATCATGTCAGTCTGTAGTCAACAATATGTCAGTTATATCATGGCAGTCTGTAGTCAGCAATATGACAGTCATATCATGGCAGTCTGTAGTCAACAATATGACAGTTATATCATGGCAGTCTGTTGTCAACAATATGACAGTTATATCATGGCAGTCTATAGTCAACAATATGACAGTTATATCATGGCAGTCTGTAGTCAACAATATGACAGTTATATCATGGCAGTCTGTAGTCAACAATATGTCAGTTATATCATGGCAGTCTGTAGTCAACAATATGACAGTTATATCATGGCAGTCTGTAGTCAACAATATGACAGTTATATCATGTCAGTCTGTAGTCAGCAGTATGACAGTTATATCATGGCAGTCTGTAGTCAACAATATGACAGTCATATCATGGCAGTCTGTAGTCAACAATATGACAGTTATATCATGGCAGTCTGTAGTCAACAATATGACAGTTATATCATGGCAGTCTGTAGTCAGCAATATGACAGTCATATCATGTCAGTCTGTTGTCAGCAATATGACAGTCATATCATGTCAGTCTGTAGTCAACAATATGACAGTCATATCATGTCAGTCTGTAGTCAACAATATGTCAGTTATATCATGGCAGTCTGTAGTCAGCAATATGACAGTTATATCATGGCAGTCTGTAGTCAGCAATATGACAGTCATAGCATGGCAGTCTGTAGTCAACAATATGACAGTTATATCATGTCAGTCTATAGTCAACAATATGACAGTTATATCATGGCAGTCTATAGTCAACAATATGACAGTCATATCATGTCAGTCTGTAGTCAACAATATGACAGTTCTATCATGTTAGTCTGTAGTCAAAAATATTAAGCAGATGACAACTGGAAAGTTCATAGATCCACTTAATAGGGGCGTGACTCACAATGAGCCAGATCACAGCAGGAGATGTCACTTATGAGTTACTACTGAGGTCAGTTACATATTCCTTATTTATCCCCCCCTACCACCGAGACAGAAGGTACTGTGGCCTCATACTGGACTGTGATAATCCACTGTACTGCCCATTCTGATCAATGAGATCTGACATGTTCAGCACCTCTGCTTACCTCAAGATGCAGACCCCTAACCTCAATACCAGTGTTAGTATTGGCAGCAACAAGAATTTGAGGATCGCGTCGATCATTGATCATCTCTATCCGAGGACAGGTCTTTGGCCCAGGACGCAGCGATGTACCTCGGACCTGTAAGTACAAATGCAAACAGTGTGAGTGTGTGCTGCCTTCTGATTGGTTGAAAAACAGATACATGTAACCATGTGACTATGGTTATTCATATAATGTTAACATGTTGAAAATCTAAAAATCTTAATTGTTTCTTTATATCTACAAAATACTTACAGCTTTGCCAGTAACTAATGTTTCGTTACGACGACAATCATCAGAGACGATGTTGCTGCAAATGTGACCTTTGATACACCATGTACAAGGGAAGTCACTCTGGGTACAGCTTGTGCATCTGCGGACAGAAAACAACAGAGGTGTGGGATCTGCCAGATCATCATCATCTTTACAAAAACCCATGTATGCAAGTGAGACTCATTGACTTCATCATCATCATCATCATCATCATCATCATCTTTACAAAAACCCATGTATGCAAGTGAGACTCATTGACTTCATCATCATCATCATCATCATCATCATCACCATCATCACCATCATCATCGTCATCATCATCACCATCATCATCATCGTCATCATCATCATTGTTGTTGTCATCATCACCACCCCCACCCCATGTACCCAAGTGACTCTCATATTGACTGTACACATCATCATCACCATCATCATCACCATCATCATCATCATTGTTGTTGTCATCATCACCACCCCCACCCCATGTACCCAAGTGACTCTCATATTGACTGTACACATCATCATCACCATCACCATCATCATCATCGTCGTTGTCATCGTCATCATCACCACCATCACCACCCCCACCCCATGTACCCAAGTGAGACTCACCTTGACTGTAATCATCATCACCATCATCATCATCACCATCATCACCATCACCACCATCATCATCGTCATCATCATCATCATCACCACCATCATCATCGTCATCATCAAACTACATTGATGCTATCCAATCTGACATATACCTCTCCACTGAATGAATGAACTCTGCCATACAACACAATTCTCCTTTGATGGCGTCTAAGAAGTTCCTTGTGAAACACAAAGGGAGTTGCACCTAGTATTTACCCTCAAGGCAACACATGTTCTTTGCATGTAGATCCTCATTCTGAATGCTTCACAATCTATGATCTTGTCCAGTTAATTAATTTTCTTTTGATTGTCAATAAATACCCAAGATGAGAGATTAACGAGTCTATTATAAGCACACAATGTATAATGGCCACCTCGTTAGCCTTGCTTCAAGACATGGTAACTTGGTCTGCTTTGGGCACCATGCGAGTAGCAATATAGTTTGCAATCTTAATGGAGTTTCCTTTCATTCCTGTCCATGATCTTAAGGCGTGTGATTAGATCACAAACATGGATGTAATAGGTTGTGCTTCAGTCCCAGATGTGTGTGTGTAATATGTACCTGACAACTAGCTCCAATTGTCCAAGTGACATTGCTTTATTCTTTGATATCCCTGACTTGGTTTGGCTTGCTGTAGAGACTATCAGGTCTACGATGTCAGGGGGTATCAAGGCAGGTATTTGCTGTGATTTGTGAGAGAGAGAATAATTGCTTTTGACATCTTTTGACAACTTTTTTATCTCTGAATCAGTGACTGCAGCCTCAAGTACTCTGGGGACACAAATACCACAGTTGTTTGCAAAGCAGTTGGTTTTTTAAATAATCTTGGCAAATGAGATATATGTGATAATTCTTGAAGGCCAACACACTGTGATCAGAACTAGAAAATTGATTTTCTATTTCCTTGAAATTCTTATTTTTCGCAACGATATGGAATAATCAGGAACAGATTGCTGATCAAAGTAGATGCATTGAAGGTTCCAGAAGGTTCCAGAAACTCCAAATAAGTTGTGTACATAACAGTAATGTGCATGCACCCTGTGTGACCTGACCTTTAGTTCAATATACACGTGTATGTAGGTCTACCCTGCTTTGGCTAGATCATCGATTAACATAAATCAATCAGCTTGCGATTAGATTACATTTCCTTGGGGCTGAACCTTGGTATTTGTTTCTGATGAAAGTGTTTTGTCTGACCGAGTCTCATTGTGAGGTTTTATTGCTGGAAGATTGAAACAGTTCGCTCATCAGCAATGATTTGCCTCCTATCGATACCCTTAGTTAACAAGCGGCTCCCAGTCAATAAGTCATCTTGCATGGCGTGAGATACGAGGCGTACTACCCGCTTCCTGATGGTCTTGTCTTGGAATCAGGAATCGCCAATAATCTGGGTGTAAATGAGGAGGGGAACACTGTGACCACTCATTCATTTCCAGCAATCAACCTCTATCTGTGGTCACTGGAACTTACTGTATAGCACGGGTCACAAAGAGAATTGATCTAAACTCGCGATTCTGATCGGCTGTGAAAGTATTTACTCTAAGCGATACAGTTGTTGATGAAATTGGCCAACAGGCCATCTAGATAGGATGAACAGACTCGTGACCGTCCACCAAGATTGATCAGAATTAGCACGCAGAGGGTCCATGATCTCTGGCTCCGGGTACGTCTCAGATGCTCTGAATTACGTCTCAGATGCTCCGTATTACGTCTCAGTACTCCGTTATTCCACCATTATGAGACTTGGGGGCTCCACCACATGGATTTTTTGTTTTCCGTAGTTAAATGACGATGCCGCCCGCTCTCGCCCTCTACTTCCTGGCCAGTGTCAATATTTCGCCCATGTCTGCACTGCTTCTTAGTCTTCAGAAACGTTGCTTTCTTGATCGAATTTAAAACTTGTCTCGACCATGTAGTTGCATTGCATAACCAACAAGATAAGACCCACAGTGCCTGCTGGTGAATCTGGGATGGCCCAAAGCAATTACTCCTACTAGTATCTCGGAGTTTAAACTGATAAGACCTTGTTGTGTTTTATTGATGTGTCAGAATAAGGGGATTTGACAAGTCTGCAAACACAACATACACGTGATCAAATCATTACACATCGACCTTCAGATGAAAGGTAATTAAAGCAACAGTCTGTATTCTCGATTCAAATCTGAGTCAAGCTGGTTTTGTGTTTTGAACAGAGGCAAAAGGATGAAGTTTTAAGTGGATTTGGCAAGATGAGCGATCTGAATGTGGGTTAGGGTGAGACCCAAGGCTACATGATCCAGCATAATGTGAACAGAAACCTGTAGAAAACAGTCTGGGGTGGGTTAGACAGGATTTGGCTAGGCCAGTGGGGACAGACGACAGGTTTAGGGAGAGATTGGAGGAGTGGCAGCCCCTTTGAGAGGAGATTAAGGGGGAGTAAGACGTGTGAATCATGCTCCTGTGACTGACAGGGGCTCGGATGGGGAACACATGGGTCCGGCAGCTAGGGTCAAGCCACCTCGTCTCATCGCAGCATCCTCCATCAGCATCTCTGAACCCAACTCGGACACTGTCATATCTATATCACAGACATATTTCCTCCTGACTCCCCTTTTTAAGGATCTCTGAAATCAACTTTTGAATAAAATTTCACAGAATCTGTTTGCAAGAACAGATGGACCTAAATTCAGACATTTTCCCTCTGAAACAGACCACAGAAACACTTGAGATTTGTTTGGCGATTAAAAAATATTCTCGTTAATCATTACAATGGGAATTGTGGAAAATGTGGAACTTTGAAATTCACGCTCATATCTAAGCAGACATTTAAAATGATATAAATGTATTTTCCCGGGAGATTAATCGGCTACATGCACTGGCTTGTCAGACGGCAGTGTTCAGCAATACAGGCACACAGAGAGAGAGATACACCACACAGACCAAAATTACATTACGACCATTTTCTCCACTCCTTTAATCACAAGCATGAGACGTGATATATTGACTCCATTGCTTCAGTTTCATGCTTAGTTAAGTTTTAATAAGAAAGATGGTACGCGCTATTAGTCATATTATACATCAGTAACAGATGAAACGAAGCCCAAAGATGCTGGAAAGGCAATTTCTAGCGTGCATTATTTTATGATCATTTAGACAACTTTACTTCATATAAAATGTGACAGGCGTTCTCTCGTTAAATTATCTACTGGGACATCGTCATTGTTTTCGGAGCATCCTGCCGATCATTCTGAATTTCAGAGATGAGGCGGCGGCCATTTATTCCCGCCAGGATTTGACGGAAGTAAGCAGCATGGATAAATAATTGAAGATGACAGAAATAAAGATAATATAGATAGAAAAGGAAGGACGTAGCATTCACAGAATGATTAATAACGTCAGGGGTCTAATTGAAAAAGTTCCACTGCTGTTAGGATGTGTCTGGAAGAGACAGGGAAACACGATATTTACATGACATCCAGTAATACCTTTGGGCTCTGGTTATGAAATAATATCGGCAGTCCTCTGTAGCAGAGTGAAAGACACTCTCCCCTTCGTGTTTGTTTTGACATTAGATAATATGTTTAATTCCCCAAAGATGTACACCCCACACAGCGATCTGGAGAAATTAAAACAAAAACACGAAAATTTGGAATTTGCAAAAAAGCTATTGTAGTGTAAGTGTTGAGCCTGATAGCTTTTCTCAGCACTTCAATCATGAAGTGGGGAAGAATTTACTTTGAAGGAAAAAATTCAATTTTGTAATGGTAAACATAGCAGAAACTATCAAATGAATTATTCAGAGTTAATTTGTTTTTAATGTATTTTTTGTCACAGACCACTCCGGAATTTTACATGAAACAAATACAACACAATTTTCAGCGGAAGTCATCATTGTTTTATGAAAAAGTGATTTCAAGCTAATGACATCTGAAATAGATTAGTTTTTTTCATCAAGAATTATGGCCATAGTTTCCTGGTTCGTGGGGAAAAAAAGTGTCTCTCTTGCTATTATAGAGACCAGTGGTATGTTGTGAAGAGGTGTCAAGAATCAGAGGCTGTTACTGAAAGCATTCTTTGTGCATCTTGACGGCATTTGTAGTGGTTAGCAAGAATGCTAACAAACTCATTAGACTAGCTTCCTCAATGTAGCTTTGATCAGGCCGGCAAGTTTGCACTAGTGTCATTTTGAAGACCATCAATTCACACACTGGTGGAGAAACACAGAAGGGACTGTGTATAAACAAGCAGCAAATTGTCAGTGGTGAATCTAACCTTAGACAGTTGGAGTTACATACTCAACAACACGAGGTACCTCGGCACAAAGAACTTCAGTTGTAGGTTGATGCAAATGGAGATGCCTCACTGATTTGACGAGGATCAATTTATGCCACAAAAGCACATTTCCTTAAATATACACGCTGAGTGAGGTGACTGAAAGTCACAGGCCCCCTGCAGTAACATTGAAGAGTACTCAGTATTTG